ACCAACAATTAACAGCAGAAACAATAGCCAACATCACAGACATCTCATTGATGTAACTTACACAATGCTGACCGAAAAATTAAAGTTAAGCAAACTTTCTGTTCAGGGGGTACCAAAACTGTTCCATCCAGATCAAGGCAGAGTTTTTAATGAGGCTTTAAAGGAGTGAGATCAAGATCCTGAAGCGTCTCTTGAAAGAACTGAAATAGGAAATGAAAGGTGTCCTTACCAGTACCATCAAAGCAATGGCTACCAAGAGGTAGAGGTGGTCCAGGCAAAGCGAAAGCCGCCCAACAAAAGCAAAGGTCCTGGCAATAGTGTATTGAGATGCTCAAGGCATTTGGCTTGTTGACTTTCTGAAAGACCAAAAAACAATAACCTGCGTATTACGAGAGTGTTTTGAGAATGGTAGCCTGGGGAAGCGTCTCCAGAAAATTCTTCATTACAACAATGCTCCTGCTCATTCCTCTCATCAAGTAAGGGCAGTTTTGTAAGAGTTTCTGTGGGGGATCACAGCATAAACAATACTGCATTGAATCTAACCATTTAAATTCCCGGGACCTTCAGTTCTTTAGGGATGTACAAATGGCTGGTATCACCTCTAGCAAAAGTGGCTTGGCCCCGATAGAGCTTATATTGGGAAATAAAGGTTGGGGTTTTATTTTTATCTTTTAAAATTCCATTTCCCACAAATGGTTTGAAGTTCCGTCACACACCCCCTTGATACAAAACCCGGTGCCACGAAGTCAATTCTGTCTCACGATGATTCCGTGGGTGTCGAGAGTAGACCTGTGTCCCACAAGGTTTTCAGTGGCTGATTTTCCTGAACTAGACCACCAGGCCTTTTTTCCGAGGCACTGGTGGGTGGTCTCAAACCTCCAACCTTTTGGTTAGCAGCAAGCACATTAACCATTTGTAATCTGCACCCTCAAGGACTCCCTTTATTGAAAAGGTCTAGGGAAAAAGCGTGGATGAATTGGCACCCTCCAATGTCACCTTTAAACAGACAGCTGTATTTTGATAGCTGAGTAGAGAGCTACACCAAGTATGTTTCACATTCTTATTCCTGGTGAACTGTTCTCTTTGGCCACTGCCATAGCCCTGCTGTTGCTGTTGATCTGTGGTTGGCCACGCACTAGGTACGGATGATGCTGGCTCAAAAGGGATAACCAAGACACCACACAAAAAGTTCCCTCACTTTAGCACATCTTCCTTTGACTCAAATGGAGCCACTCAGCTGTAGTTTTCCCAAGACCTTGTGCTGGGTTAGAAAGTTACACAATGACAAAGAAACCCAAGAACTCTTCAGGTGTGAGCCAGGTAGATGTTTAGGAGGAAAAGGTCCCAAAGAACGGCTGCTTCATGTTGCTCAACCACTAATATTTTCCAGTTTTCAAATCCAAATCATTAAGCACATTTTAAGCACTGTGAAAGGGTGCTGGTGGGTCTGTATGATAAAACCAGAGTGAAAAACAAACAAACAAAACACAGACAGGACCTTTTCCTTGGTCTGTGGATCGTTTGTCCCCTTCAGGTACTTCGATTTCAAAACTTACCTTCCTCGCTGTCAACCATTCATTGTTCTGTTCCTCAGCCTCTCTGCGTCCTCATGAATAGGGTTCCCTAAGGACTCGGGCGTTCCTCTCAGTGCAGTCACACGAGAAAATCTACAGTGAGCTCCAAGGTGCTGAAAGTTGCCAACGGGGCTCAGGTTACGGTGACTGAGGGACCGGAAGCATCTCCTTGGGCTGCAGTCTCTTAAGGGTGAGGACTGCCTGCAGTAACACAGGTCCCCAGTGAGCTGCTCAGAGGCCGACTCCTGCGTTACCCAGAACACCCAGAGAGCCACGTGTGGCACAGATCATGTGATAACTACTCAGGATGGACTTCAATGGCCACGCCACAGCCACAGAGTCACAGCCATTGGGGGCGTGCCAATCTACAAAGTGGATTTCCTCCTTCCGCACCGGGTTGAAAACAAATGACAGGCAGGTTTAATTTAGATTCTGTTATCACAGAAATGCAGCTCTCTCGCTTACTTCAGCACCTGCACGCACAGAGTCTTCCACTGCCAGTCCCCACCAGCAAGAGGCTCCAGGAAACCTCAGGGCAGCCCAGGAAAAGGCTGGTTTTTTTGTCTAGATTAGGAGAAAACTCCAGAATTGCCTATTACAGATTGTGGTGGTGTTGTGTTTTTTTTGGGTGTGTGTGTGTGATTGTACTTTAATTTGGAAGATAGGCTCAATATTACCGAAAAATACCACCAACAAGCAAACAACAACAACAACAACAATCCACTTGTGCTGGTGGGTAGTGTACCTGCTTAATATACTTGGCTGCTTACGGAAAGATGGCCAGTTCAAATCCACAGAGAGGTGCCGCTGAAGAAAGCCTGGCAATCTACTTTAGAAGCAAAGCAAAAATCAGTTATTGAAAACCCTTACGGCACACAGTTCTCCCTTGAGAAACCGGGGTCACCGCCGTGAGTCAGAATTGCCCCGACACAACTGACGCTGGCACGTGGCACTGTTCAGGACTCAATGCAGAGACCTGTGAGATGCGTCCCATAGCAAAGTGCTCTCCGCTAGCTCTCGGTCCAAAAGAGAGGAGCGCTGAAGCAATGCCATCTTTTAAATCAGAGGATGAAAAGCCTTCCTCTTTTTAAGCTTAACCATCTAACTGGTTGTCTTCCCACACCTAGTCCTAAAGCTCGAATACTGCCATATCAAAAATAGTTATTCACCAAAACAACATCATTTAGCTGTACTCTGCCCTTAATTAATCTTAAAGGCTTTGCTTAAAAATCAAATTAATAATTATTCTTCTGACAAATCGATCCCATGGAAACACAAGGCTGCATTTTTGTTATGATAAACAATGTGTCCAAATAACTATAAACAATTATGATGGCACTGCTCATATTACAGTTTGAAAATTAACTGTAGAACTCCAGCCTATATTTAACAATCCGGTAAAACACCCCCTGGCTCACTGACAATGTCAATGACCCAGAGATCACTCCCACTCATAAAAACCCAACTCACTGCCATCAGGTCACCTGGGACCCACGGGGACCTTACAGGGCAGGGTAGCACTGCCCCTGTGGATTTCCAAGACCCAGACTCTTTACAGGAGCAATGCCTCCTCTGTCTCCTGTGCAGCAGCTGGGGGTAAGCAGCTCAACGCATAACCACTACACTACCAAGGGGAATGATAATTTATTCATTTCGTCTTGAACAGAATTTTTAGTTATCACTGTTCATCCAAAAAAGGCATTCCAGTGGCATCGTGGTTACGCGCGTGGCCGCTCAACACATCAGCGGTTCAAACTCCCCCACGGTGGGGAAGATGCGGCCATTGGCTTCAGGAGAGACCGACAGTTTTGGACACTGTATGGGGCAGTTCTGCTCTGCCCTGTGAGCCAGTCACGAGAGTGGACGCGACCCGATGCCAATGAGCTCGGTTTGCATCATCTCGGCATAAAGCGAGGGCTTGCTTTTCTCCTTCCCACCTGCGTCTGGGAAACTCAAATATGCTCTTGGGCTCGCTCTCCTGACATTCTCCTGGACACGCTCCATCAGAATTAGGCTACGCTCGGTCTGCATGGCTTCAAAAAAGTCACTGAGAAAAATCGAGGTCTTTTTGAAAAAAATCTGGATTGTTTGTGTTTTTTTGGGTGGTGGGGGGATTTCACAATGAACTGATCTCAATAGTGACTATTATCTCCTGGGTTGAAGGGCACTGCTGTTTATTTATCCTAAGTCTGTTTAAGTGTCTTGAACCGACTTAATACACACAGTCCTTCTGTTCCAGTGGTCTACTGGCCTGTCTGGAACTCTGCCCTCCCCTCAACAGCTATCCCCCCACCCCCGCCGCCTCCACAGCAGGTCAGCCTCCCCAGGTAGAACAACAGAGGCTGCTTAGAAGTAGGAGCAGAATTCTGGCTTTGCCACTTGCTCCCAGGCACCAACATCTGTCTTGGTTTTCCACTGGCTGAACGTTTACCAACCACAGTACCCAGGACTTCCGCTTCTCTGAGGAGTAAAGGAGATGAGAAATAGCTAATACTTGCAACAGTGTCCAGCGCACACTTACCAAAACCCCAAACCTGTTGCCATTGGCTTGATCCCAATTTATGGCAACCCCATCTGTCACAGGGAGAACCATCCACAGCCTCTGACCACAGGTTTTTCCTGTGGGCTGTCACTGCAGGAGCCTGATCTGCCAACCTTGAGGTCAACAGTGGAGCGCACCCACTGCTTGCACCGCACCGGGCACCAGGGGCCTCTCTACACAGGTCCCCATCAGTCGATGTGAGCTGTTCGTGTTATTATTTAGCACACAGATGGCAATCGAGCATTCGCTCCGAACTCCACAGCGAGTTAGGAAAGACAAACGCAGGATGGGTTTATAATCTCAATTAAACCATTTATATTCTAAAACACACAAAAATCTGTACCAATTAAATACAATAAAGTTGAAAAAGCATATAAATTACATTTCTTTCTTTAAACACACAATAGTAAAATACTACAGTCAGCTCACTATACACAAAAAATCATGTGCAGCAGCTTATCCTTAAGGTCGCCCCCATCTTCCTCGCTGACTGATAATGCTAAGGGCTTAACCATACAAGGTACAGCGGCTGTACATATCCTCTCACCACACACAGCTGTACACCCAATCCAACTGTACAGGCATATACATAACAGACAGAAAGGCATTGCCTCACAATGCTCATACCGCCTGACCCTGCAGTGCCTCCATTAAAGGGGAGGTTTAAGAATGAAGTCCGGGGCAGCGGGGACAGCAGGAGCCAGTCACCTCCAGCCAACACAATGCCGTTTGTGTCCATGAAGAGTTCAGTCTATCTCTTCCATTATTTCCAGAATTTAGCAAAAATCAGGACGACAGAACCATGCCACATCACCTACTCACTGATCCAAAACAACCCCACTCCCACCCCAAGCCCCCAAATCACCAACCCCACCCCTCCCCACCCAACTCTTGGTCTGCCCCTTTGCTTTCTGACAGTAATACTGCTCTCCGCTTGCTTTCTACCTGCCTGGCTGGGCTGCACACCTGGCAATGGAACTGCAGCGGGGAGAACCCCAGGCATTGTCAAGGGTTATAATACGAGGCCAAGTCAGCAAGTGGCAGTCAGGTGGAAGCCCGAAAGACTACAGTTGTGAGTTTTCCGTGTGCTTATGAAACATAGGACAGAGACCGTCAGCGCGTGGCTTGGTAGCCAAGGGTCTATGGCACCAAAGTAGCAGTTAAACAAGCACGCACACACACACACACCAGTGCACACCAACAACGTACAGTTTCATGTAAGTTCTTTGGTTATAAAGAACAGCATTCTATTACCTTTTTTGCAGAGGGATTTGCAACCTTGCTCTCACGCAATCACTCTCCTTCGCTTGAGCCAAAGGGACTGCTCACGTTGCTTTGTAACGAAGTCCAGTACCTAATGATTTTTACAATTCAGCTTTATCTGCATTTTAGTGTGCAGCCACGTCTGTCTCCGGACAAAATATAGATACACATTTCATATACATACATACATATATATATTATTTAAAAAACCAACAAACAAATTAGAGCATTAACTCCAGAGTCTACAGTAAGAATTGATCAAAGTTGTATAAGAATAAAGATTACTTGGTTTGGATCTGTAGAGGTTTCTACAGTTTAGGGGTGTGTAGAAGTGCAAACGAAAAATACTGCCACTTAATTAATCCAGGTCTCGGTTCCTTTGCTTTCTGGAAAAAGCAGTGGTTGCCCATTCACCCAAGTGACAAAGTGCCACTCCTCCCACTTGGCAGGGGAAGGAGGTGGCTCAGGAGACGGGTCTCTGCTTGTCCGAGCAGAGCTGGTCAGAGGTCGGCCAGGGCCGCAGCACGCTTTAAAGATGGAAGCTGGTGCTTGGTGCCGTGGAGCAAAGCTGCCCGCCCAGCAGAGCAGTGGCCGGAGGTGCCTTGGCCTCACCTCGCACGTGTACTTGCTGTGGTCCCCTGGAAGGCAGAGACAACGTGAGTTCAAGCTCTCATTACCTCCCGGCCACCCCACAGCCTGCTCAGCCCAACCCTGCCGGGCCTCCACTCAAGCAGGCATCTCTTCAGAAGGGACCCATGAGATGCGGGGGCGGGGTGTCTGCCATGGGACCCAGTTCTGGCAAGGCAGACACCGAGACCCACCTTTGGGACTAGTAACGACAGCAACAGCAACGCCCAACGCTGAAGTAAAAAGTGGATTTCTGGGTGAGAATAGAAGTTCTGATAAAATCAGCCCTTCCAAGTTCTGAAGTAAACTTTAAAATGGTCACAACAATGACAAGGAACACAGAAAGTACTTAAGTGGATTTTGTGTGTGTGTGTGTGTGTGTGTGTACATATGTGTTTGACTGTGAGTGTATAAAAAAGGAGAGAGAGAAAAAAGTTCCCCTAAACCCATCGCTCTTGTACGACAGGTGTTTTCACAAATTCCAGGTTTGAGGAGGTAGTTCCCCATTATGGGACTTTTCAGAGAGCAAAGAGATACTCTTCGTGTTTGCTGGGTTCTGAAAAATCTGGGCTCCAGGGCAAGAACCGGGTGTAGCTTCTCATTTGTGAGCCATGCTTCTTACAATGTGGCCTTCAGAGTCCCCGTGAGCTTGTCAGGGTCGACCTTCTCAACTCTGCTCCCGGGCATCTTAAGGTGGCCCCAGCCATTGTCTCCTGCACCCGAGCAGAGTCACCCGCACATTTCAGGAGCACTCTTGCAGAGTGACCAATGAAGAGGCCTGACGCGGGAACTTCTTGGAAGGATGACTGGTAAGCTGATGTGGGCCAGCTCCACAGATTTGAGCTCCAGGACCGAAGACATTGAATGACAAATGAACGTTGCATTTTTGCAAGAACAGGGATGAGTAACTCTTGGCTTCCTCATTTGAACGGTGGGAGGCTGTTTTTCTCATGGTCTCATCCGGTCTGCTGAGGGTGTGCCAGTTTTGAAACATGAGCATGTTGTGTAAAGAACCCCATTCTGAAACTTTAAGGGCTCGTATGGAAGGCCGGGGGGCACTGACAGTTCAGAGTTAGAATTCGCTCCTCCATCCGGGAGGTCCAGAAAACCTGGGATCAACCTACTGAGCAGCCTCCACCTGTGGTGAGTGGAGGGGGATGCACTGCTAGGATGCTGATTTCAGGGGGGCTTCCGTGCTAAGATGGACTATGGAGAAAACCTGGCGGTCTCCTTCTGACACAGCCAATGGAAACCTCTTAGCTCCCAATGGTCAGATTCTAGGCACTGTGCACGGGGTTGCCTCGACATGAGGGAGGACTCCCCGGCAGCTAGCAGCAACTATCACAGTATCAGATGTAGGGAGAAAATTCCAGAGGACATCCTGATCACACTGTGACAATACCTTCCTGAGCCAAAGGGATGTCTTTACACCTACACCATGGCTCTCCTATACCTTCCACAGGGGCAGCTGGTTATGGGAAGCCACAGAGGGAATGGGAGTGGGAAAGAATGGCTGCCAGGAGCAGAGGCTTACAAACAGGAAATCCAATCTCTGTGACTAGTTATCTCCCTTAGGAATATTAGCATGAATACATTTTGTTCAGCTAGGAGGATGAAACAGTATTCTAAAACCAGCCATCCACATTTCAATTGCCAGGGAATTTGTCTATACCTCTCTAGCACCCTTCCACCTACTGGCACCAAGTTACCATATCGCACCAATTAGGAGGAGCTTTTCTTCCCACATTGCCATTTCTGACACTGGGATGCGTCTTCCAAAATTGGCAGCATTTTCTTTCCTAACAATCCATAAAATTGTGCTGCATTTAACAATGGAAGGAATCTCCCATTTGGGACAATAGAGTAGCTGCCAACAGAGTGCCTCTTGGGACAAAGACGGGCTCTCTACTCCCGTAAAGAGTAAAGCTCAAAAATGCCCAGGGGCAGGGCTGCCCTGTGGTAGAGTTCCGAGGACTCCGTGGCAGCGAGGTTGGATTTGGTCTGGGGACTAGGGTACCTGAGGGGAGCTGGGTTGCTGTGAGCTGCTGACAAGTCAGCTGACACATGGCAACCCCACGCATACCCACGTGCACCAAGAACTGTGCTCCGGGGTTTTCAGGGTGTGACCTCGTATAGCAGACCAGTCTGTCTTCTGAGGCGCACCTGCATGGCTTCGGATCACCAGCCTGCGGGCCAGCAGCCAGGTGTCCCACGATGTGTGTCAGTAACACAACTGAACACAAACATCGCAGGGGATTAATAAGAGGCGGATTCTTAGTCTTCTGTACCTTGAATTCAATACCTACCCATGTGCCAGTTTAAAACAAAAACAAAAAACAACCCACTGGCCCAATGTACTTCCTGGCCCCAACTCTTATACCCAAAATTGACTTGCTCTCCCACAGAGAGAGTACCAGCTGGGCAGGATGAGAACTGGCTCCCAGGCAGGCCCCGAACCCTGTCTGAAGCACCCCAACAGGCCTTCCCGCCTAATTCACTGGGGTGCGCACCCATGGGTGGGAGGGTGCTGCAAAATGAGGCAGGCCCACTGAAGGCACAGAATGCAAAGGGTGGCCTGTGGAGGTCATTACCTGATCACGTCTGGTGCAGAATGCCAGGGTCGGGGCGCCCATGGGGGGCACTTTTACTGTCTGTTGGATTTGGTAGGTTCTTCCTCCTCAGGTGTTCTCCGGCAGAAGAATCCGTCAGGCCATCTAAAGCAGTCCCCTCCGACACGCCCATGAACTCCGTGAAAGAATGATCCTCCAGGATGCTCGTGGTGTGCTCCACGGTCACCTCCACGGGGGAGAACTCCCTGGCCGGTGGGCCATGTCTGCTGGGGCCGGTGTCCAGCTGGGAACACGAGCCAGTCCTGCAGGGTACTTTGGAGTTTTCCTCAGGGATGCCTTGGGACGATGGGCTCCCTTCGGCTAAGGCACTGTTTTCCTTGGGTGGCACCATGGGTAACTTATCCTTCACCAAGCCTCTTTCCAGTTCTGTCAACTCTTTGTCTGTGGGCGGTCGGCACTCCTGCACAAGTGAGGGCCCAGAGTGCTCCTGGGGGTCTGCATCCTTGCTCTGGATGGCCAGCTGGTCTGAGCTGTCACTGGAGGGGACCACCATGTCCGACAGGGTGGCATTGGAGGCACTGTGGGAAAAGTAGCCACTGGTAATACTGCTGGTGGTAGGGCTCCGGGACACTTCTTTCTCGGCCACTCGGGAGCTTGTCAGATCTACTTTAGAGGGGAACCACTCCCTGTTCCCCAAGCTGGCATTGTAAACACTGAAGTCGGCAAACTCCACAGGTACATAAGGCTGTGAGCTTATCAGCTTCTGGTTCATAGCTCCCAGCTCGTGTTCCTCCTCCTCCGAGTCCTATGGAAACGAGGGGGAAGTCAGTCACTGGCTCTAAACAGCAACTGTACTGCTCCCAACTGCTTCCCAGCGAAAGCCACTCATGTGCATGCATTACCAGTTTCTGCTCTTCCCGGGTTTGGTCTGGTGTTAATTACTGTGCTTGCTACCCAGACAAATTCTCAGGAACCCATTCTTACCTAAGATGAAGAAGACTGCTTTCCTTTGTGTTCACTCACCAATTAATGTTCATACCTGTGTATAAGCCGTTTTTCAGCAGAATTTCTATGCAGTTTTTGTAGTGAAATTAGGGGCCTTGGCTGATATTCAGGCTGGCTTAAAAAATTTTTTTTAATTTTTTTATTTTATTTAAAAAAATTTTTTTAAATCATTTTATTAGGGGCTCATACAACTCTTATCACATTCCATACATACATCAATTGTGTAAAGTGCATTTGTACATTCATTGCCCTCATCATTCTCAAAACATTTCCTCTCCACTTAAGCCCCCGGCATTAGGTCCTCATTTTCCCCCTCCCTCCCCGCTCCCCCCTCCCTCATGAGCCCTTGATAGTTTATAAATTGTTATTTTGTCATATCTTGCCCTGTCCGACGTCTCCCTTTACCCACTTTTCGGTTGTCCATCCCCCAGGGAGGAGGTCACATATAGTTCCTTGTAATCAGTTCCTTCTTTCCAACCCACTATATTCAAGTATATACGGTAAAAAAAGAAAAAAGAAAAAGAAAAAAATTCCTTCTGTGGGTGTAGGGGAAGGGAGGAGGCATGGAACTTTTAATCAGTTACCCAGGATTAGCTCTTTCTCATGACATGAGCAGATCCCCAGAGGCTGGCACGACCAGTTCTCCGAAGGTTCTTTTTTTCCATTTTAAACTTTCTATTTTTATTTTATCTTTTTATTGTAAACTGGACAGAGATTGATGGGCTGCATACTTCCCTGATCCTATTGTTGCCTGGATAGACCTTGGCTGAAAACTGAGCCATGGGGGTGAGCTGAGTCCCAGGGCTGAAGGCTGGCTGACTAAGGGTCATTGTCTCAAGGGTCCTGCCAGTCTCTAAATGATCAGTAAGCTTGATTTACTGGAAGTGGTTTTGAGTTTTGCTCCCCATTCTTCCCGGCTGCTATCCAGGAGCGTCAGGATGGCACCCTTTCAGAGGAGTTGGCAGTGCTAGCTGGGCACCATCTAGTTCCTCTGTCTCCATTTGCTCTTATACTCTTTACTTTGGGACAAAAGGTAACTTGTGAAAAGTTTTGGAGCTTATTTTATGGGGGCAAAAGCCAGTAAAATAAAGCATCCAGCAGCAAAAGGAGAAAGAGCAAAATTTTAACCCCTATCCTTCATATTAGGCCAAATATCTCAAAGCTGAAAAATAGTAGCAACCACAGTTTTTTACATTTTTTGAGCAGCGTGAACAGAGGATGTACTAAAAGGTAAGGAAGGCAGGGAAGCAGTTTGAATGAACATGCCATCCCCTTGCTCATCCAGTAACTGCTAACGAAGACGTGTGACTATGGACTATGGCGAAAGTGGGCAGCATCAATCCCTCATTCTTTCTTCATGTGAACATATATGTTAATATTTGGTGGAAGACATTATTAAGCACAGGGGTCTTTTATGTTCAGCTAAAAATTAATATTCCTATCTAGTAAATTCTAATAACCGCACACAACGGATGGTGGTGCAAATATGGAAGTGTGATTTTTATTTAACAAATACTGACTGAGACCCTCCTATATGGCTGTCATTGTTGTAAACACTGGGAATGCCAATGTCGAGTGAAAGAAGCAAGGTTCCGGCCCTCAGGGGGTCACACTGATAATGAAGGTTACATTGTGAACCATGTAACCAAGAAACATGACACACAGGCAGAGAAAGCCCGTGATGCGCACAGTGAATGCTCAACACAAGTGGCAGGCAGCTGTTTACAAACCAACATAAATCTCATCTGTTGGACTTGATCGCCATTGTGTGTGTGTGAGTGTGTGTGCGCGCGCCTACTCAGGTGCTAACTTCTTTCAAAAATAGTTTAGTTCTCTCTTCAATGCTTCTCAGTTTCAAAAATAACCTGAATATAAGTTATGCGGAAGCATCTGTAGTCTTAATTACTTTGGTCCTTAACTCACGTTAAGGATCAAATGTCAATACGTTTCCTGAAATGAGCAAAACCCAAATGTTTGGCAGCGCTAAGCTGGTCTTGCTATCTGGTCTCCAGCTGCCTTTTACATTAAGTGGCACAACTGAGGAGGGGACTGACCTGGGCGACATGGTAGTTAAGCTCTCCGCTGCCTCCTGGAAGGTTGGCAGTGCTAGCCCAGCAGCCGTGTGGTGGAAGAAAAGGTGTGCCCGTGGGCTTCTGGGAAGATTAAAGCCTTGGTAACGCTGGGGGCAGCCCTCCTTTGTCCTATTGGCTCCCTGAGATGGTGTCAACCTGATGGCCACAGACGTGTTACCAAGGTGGTGGAGCGCTCTCCCCCAGGAGGAGGGAACGCCCGTAATGGGTAAAGACTGCAAACAGTCTCAGAATCCGTATCCTTTACCGATATTTCCTCGAAACTGAATTTCAACTGTTTGTCATTTTTACATTTCCCTTTGACTTAAGCTGGCAAAGAAATAAAATTCTCCAAGTCCAAGAATACCTCATACAATTACGTAAAAAAATTGTTGCCTAAGTAACCACTACACCCCCAGGGCTTTGGCTAAAGGAGCAGGCATAACTTATTCCAGAAATATGAACAATAAGATGAAACATTTTCTAACATTTAAAAGGAGTCTAAAAGTGTATCAATTTATTACCTTCAAGAAGAGAAGAGAAGACAGTTGGTTTACATCGCAGGTTGAGGGAGTTTGATTACATATATGAATACTTCTTTTTTTAAATGGTTCTATTGACATATAATTTACATATCATTCAATAGTTCAATCTCATGAAGAAGAGTTGTACAGTCATCACTACAATCCGTTTCAGTGAATAATATTTCTGGTACAAAAGTCTACCTACCTAACCAAACCCCCTCAACATGCAATGTCAGCCAATGATAAGTAAAATGTTTGGGATCAAAGTCTAACCACTGCATCCTGATGAGGACTGCCTCAAACACTTCCCTATCATTCCTGAGAGACTTGAAATAAAGAGTAAAGACGCTACCGAAAAGCGGAGTCAAGCTCTAACACTTAGCTATAGCTAGTCTTTGTGATTTGATTTTCTACAGTTTAACTTGTGCAGCTAATATTTATCCACAGACAAAACTCCTGAGAGAACAAAGGGATTAAAAGTTACATTAAAAGCCGCCACTCCTTGCACCAACAGGCAGGTCTGGGCTCTTTCTCAGAGAGCTGCTTTGTATCCAAGACCAAGTGGCCTGGGACACCCAGTAGTTCTGTCCATGGTCCTTAGAGGCGGGCAGCCCACTGTTCGGCTCAGCACCAGGACCTACTGGACACTGCATGCTCTTTGGAAACAGCCGATGTGTCGGGAGTTAACCCAGCTCTGCTGAGAGATGTTATACTCTCATGGCCTGTGCAAGTCACTCAACGCTTCTAGCCCTTTTGTTTCTGCATATGTAAAATGAAAGGACTGAATCATACGCTGCTTAGAAAGACTGAGGAAGGAGTAGAGGGAACCCTGCGAGCAACCACTAGTGTTTTCTTTGCCACTCTTTCTGTTTGATGACTTCAAAGGCAAGACTCCAGCGCCGATTGTGGCTGCATTCACTTCCTGTGTAACACGTGGTGGACATGTGGTCATCTTCCCAAATTGGTCAGACAACAAAAGCACAAATGATGACTTTCACCCTGGGGGTGGGGTGGGGTGGTCATACCCTGCGTGGCTGACTGCAAGGCCACCAGCTCAAAACCACGGCTCTTCCACGGGAGAGCGTGGAGGCTTCTGACTCCTGTGAAGAGTCACAGTCCTAGATGGCCCCCCTGGATGGGACGGGACAACAGAATGGCATGTGGATGGACATACTGGAGTTTATAAGATAGGGCTAAATAAATAAACTATTATAGGGGGATGGGGGAGAACAAGGGTTCCTGGAGGTTTGGTGGGGGAGGGAGGGGATAAAGGGGAACTGCTATCAAGGAGCTCATGAAGAAAGGAAATATTTTGAAACCAGCTGTGGGAGCAATTGCACAATACTGCTTGATGTGATTAAACTGTGCAATGTTATGATATATGTAAGAGCTCCCCAAAAAATGATTTAAAAAAAAGTTACAGTGAGGACCTGATGCTGAGGACTTAAGTGGAGTGCAAATGTTTGGAGAATGATGAGGGCAATGAATGTACAAATGTGCTTTACACAATTGATGTATGTATGGATTGTGATAAGAGTTGTATGAGCCCCTAATAAAACGATTTAAAAAAAAGTTACAGTCTTGGAGACCCACAGGGGCAGTGCTACCCCGTCCTTGAGGGGCCCTCAAAGTCAGAATTGACTCGATGGCAGTGAGAGTGAGATCTTTATTGCAAGGGAGTTTTAGTGGCACACTGGATTAAGCACCAGGTGGCTAATCATTGGGTGTGAACCCAGCCCCTGCTCTGTGGGAGAAAGACAGAGCAGTTCACCCCAGCAGAGATGGATGGATGTGGAGATCCCAGGGAGCAGCTCTACTTCGTCTTACGAGATCAGCACAAGCAGAAACCTACCTACCCAGTGGGCCGTGGAGATGCAGAATTACAGAGCTACTACAGAAAACAACGGGAATAAGTCATGGCCTTCTCAGAAGTGATTTCAAACTCCTGCATTCACTCTAGAGGTGCTCTGGTGGTGTAGTAGTTACACGGTGGGCTGCGAATCACATAGTCAGCAGTCTGAACCAGCCAGCCGCTCTGCAGGGAAAGATGAGGCTTTCTACCCCCATAACAAGGTATAGTCTCAGAAACCCATAGGGCTAGCTCTACACTGTCCCATAGGTCTCTAGGAGTGCTCCCGACTCAATGGCAGTGAGTTTGAACCATTAATTCACTCTGCTTTTTCAAGAGTGAAAAGGAAAGGAAATTAAAAACAAAGGTGGGGGGCAAAAATTTGTAAAAAGGAAACTAACATTTCCCAAAGAGCTCATGGAACCTCCGGGCGAGCAAACAATGCCCTGAAAATTCTACCAACATGGCCTGGAAAAGCTGCCATAGGACGTAAAATCCCAAAGTCAGTTCAGTAGCCTCAGAGAGGAGGCAAGCTCAGGGAGGCAATTTCCTAAGGGAGTAGAGGCAGAGGTCACACCAGTAAGACCCCAGCAAGGACCACGGAGGCATCAGCCTGCATGTGGAGCACTTCTGGGCTATGCTTGGTCACACGGTCTAACTGCTGCTTGAGATCTCCTGGGTCAAGGGAATCCAGCTCAATCTTGCCCTCTTCTCTTCTGTGAAAGTTAACAGTACGACAAGGAAAGCAAAGACCCAATTCTCAGGGAGGGTCTGTGAGCTGTGACACTATCTGGTGACCAGCATTGGAAGGGTCACCCAGCAGTGTCTTGGGCCAAAGTTAAGGTGACCAGACGTCCTGATTTTTAAAAAGAATGCATGACAAGCTAGAGAACCATCTATTTGGTCCATATAGACCACATTTTTAATCAAGAACCACCCTCCTACCCCCCACCCCGCGTCAATGGTGTCCCACTTTAAATCTGGCCACCTTAGCCAAAGTGCATTTTTAACATAGATTTAAACGAATGGGCCTGTGTTCCATGGTCATCAGTGTCATGTGAGCAGACAGCCCAGAGCCAGGGACTGCAGAGGGAAGACACACCAGTCCCCTGGTCTTCTAAGACCAGGCTGCAGCCCACCCTAATGACGGAGCAGCTCATTCAGGTGCAGACAGACGGCAAGGGCAGGACCAGAGGTCCCGATGTTTGGTGTTTTTAAAAGTCCCGATTTTTGGAAAGAATGCACGACAAGCTAGGGAACGGTCTATTTGGTCCATATAGATCAAATTTTTAATCAAGAACACCCCTCCCCGGCCCCCGAGTCAATGGTGTCCCACTTTAAATCTGGTCACCTTAGGCAAGGCAGCTGTTGATAATCTCACTCTTTTTCACCAGAAACTAGGACTGAGGGGAGGCGGGGAGGGGGCGTGGCTCTGGGACACAAATGTAGAGGGACAGGGGGAGGAGGGAGTGGTGGCTCTCCTCAGGGGGCATTAGGAATCAGGAGGTCATTTCCAAAGCTCCCCTAGCGCTCCATGCATGCAGGTGAGTGGCCAGCTGCACACCGGATTCAGTCCCGTTAGTTTCACACAGGGTGCATTCGCCGTGTCTTGGAACCAGTCAAGGATCCGGCCCTCCTGGGCCTTTGGTGCGAGCCGGCACAGTGGGGATAAGAAAATGAGTCCCCAACCTCTGGCCAACCCAGCGGACCCTATGCAGATGTAAACACCCAGCAGCCTGGCTGGCTTCAAGCTGGCTTCCCTTCGCCAAAGCCCAGCACACCATATGGACTTATAAAGTGAGACAGCCTTAAGACTATGTAGATTTTTTTAAAAGCCTCCCCCACCCCGAAAAAAAAAATCGAGGCCTAATTTATCATCTAAAGAAAGAGGACACTCAGTGTCTTAACAGCCACTCCTCACACCTGTGGTTTGAAACCCAAGAGCTGGGGAGTGAGGGTTTTGCATCCTGTGCGTGGCGATGGATACACGGCCATCCTGAGAGCAAAGCCACCGCCAAGGAGGCTGGAATGGATTTTGCCAGGTCGTTAGAGAGGTGGTGGTGCCGATGGGTGATGATGGAGGGTAGCGTGGCCATGGACGACAGAACAAACTGGGCAGTAGCATTGAGCAATGCAAAGAAAGCTTTCAAACACGCCCGCAGCTCAATGCAGGATTACTTACTCCAAGTAAATTCAACTCCTGTAGGTAGATTAACTTCAGAATCTGGGCAGTATGCATAGGCATATCAGAAATATTTCAACGTTAGTTAAAGTGAGAACTTTGCTATCATTTCAATAAAAGGCAGAAACATGATCAAGTGCCTGCCCTTCCCCACCCACTTTGAAAGGAGAGAACTAGAATCAACACTCAGAAGAATCACAGGCCATGGGAACATAACTGTACATGTTGTTAATTTAATCAACCACCTCTAGTTCATTAGCTCATGCAGATTAAACTTTTCCTATATATTTAAAAAGGCAAATATATATATACATATATGAAATAAAAAGCAAACATGCAATGCACATCTTAATTTCTTTTCAAATGCTTGAATGATTGCGTGTAAAAGGCCTGTAACCCACCACCAGGCAGTATGACAGAAATGGTTCCAGAACTTACAATCTTCCTCTGACATTTGCTATCGAGTTCTACTGGCACGCTGCTGCCATTGCTTCCTGAGGGCACAAGGCAGCCAGGGTTATGGGCCTGAGATGGAGGCATGCTCTGCAAGGGTCGAGACACACAGACGCATCACATACAAGAGGCGAGAAGACACAATGAAGGTACGTGCCGGTTAGAAAAGCAAGGCAACTCTTTTATTACAGGTGAGTCGATAGGCAACCGAGTTCGCCGGCCAGAGTTAAACCACGGACGATGTCTGACAAGACCGCATGCTCGTTGGTAGCACAGCTGAAATCAAATGGAACATCAAACAAACCAACCAACCCCGTGCCATCAAAAGCCTTTACTATCTTTCAAAGGTTCACGGCACAGTTCTCTCTCACTTGGAAGACAGAAACATCTTGGAAAAGCCATACCAAGAAAAAGAATGGGGTGGGGGTAGGAAGAAGCAGAAAGAAAGAAAAATCTACTACAGGCCTGCTAGGACTTGTGGAGTGGAAATCCACGGACACTCCCAGGCATCATCCAGAGGGTTAGTGAACGGAAACCGCTACTTCTCTGCAGGCAGCCTTGCCCCTTCCCGCTCTGCAGAACACAGACAGGTCAAGGGCTCACCTCCTGGCTGAGGAGAGGCCTTGCCTCCAGAGCTATCCTCTTCTTATGCTCCTCTCTCACAGGCATGAGGGGCTTGAAGAACTTTGGTGGCTGAGGAGAGAATGCCTTCAATGGGCTGACCAGTAAGGCGTGAGGATTCTCTGACGTGCAACCTAAGGAAGACGAGAAAAAAAAGAGGCTTGAGTGTCTAGGTACAGAGCACTGGAAGCAGCGGAAGGAAGTCAATAACCCTGTACAGGAGTGCTTAGACAAAGAAATAAGATGTTAATACCTGGCTACACATGCAAACAGACCCATACAATAAAGGTAATTCTGGACATACACGCCAAAGAAATAAAAAGAGGGACTCAAATAGGTATCTGGACCCCGGTGTTCACCACAGCATGCGATCGCACTGATGGGAATTCTGTAGAGAAGGCAAATGCACAGAGAGAGGAAGCAGGCTGGTGGTCTTCAGAGGCGGACCCGGGGCAGGAGGTGGTTACTGCTGAAGAGGTGCAGGGGTTCTCTTTGGAGTGAGAAGAAAGCTTTGGACAAAAGAACAGTGGTGATGGTGTCACGATATGGTGAACGGCCAAAGGAGCACGTTGCTGCGGTTGCTAGGTGCCCTGGAGTCGGTTTCAACTCACGGCGACCCTGTGTACCACAGAATGACCACCCTGTCAGGATGGCACACATCCGTCCCGCTCTTCTTGTGTCTAACGCCTCACTGTTGCAGCCATGGTGCCAATCCCTCTCCTTGAGGGTCTTCCACCTTTTTCCCTGCTTCTCCACTCTACCCAGCATGATGTCCTTCAGAGACAGGTCTCTCCTAATGACAGGCCCAACACCAGACGAAGCCTTGCCATCCTTGCCTCTAAGGAAGGCTGTACTCCTTCCAAGACTTTGTTTGAGTCATGCCCCATCAGCAAAGGAAGGTCCCATAGATTTGACTCCAATACGATCGACTCTACTTTGAGAAGGGGGCTCTCTGTCCTATTTTGACTGACTTCTGAGTTCATTTCCTGACACTCTGACAAGGTTCTGCTTCTATTCCAGAGTCTTTCCAGCTTTGATAGTGGCCAGAGGGTTTGCAGTGGCCAGTTCCTCTGAAATGGTCAGCCTATTTCTTCTTCACAGTCTGTTCTCAGTCTGGAAGCTCTGCTGACTAGCCACATTGGGCGACCCAGTTGGTCCTTGAAATACGCATGACATCGCGTCCAGTGTCACAGCAACACACAAGCCATGCCGGAGAACAACCCGACAGACAAGTGGTGGTAGTGGCAAGTCACGTGCTGTCTATCTTTTACCGGAATGTAACACAAAGCCACAAAAAGTTACTATAGGGCTGGTCGGCCTGAAAAATAAAACAGATACACTTGGAAATCAATTTGTCCACCCTCTTTTCAGGAGACAAGAATCCTGGTGGCTCAGTGGTTAAGCACTTCACTGCTGACCATAAGGATTTCAGCAGTTTGAACCCACTTGGCCTTCTGTGGGATGGGGCAGTCTACTACCATGGCAATTACGGCGTTGAAAACCGAATGCGGCAGCTCTTCTCTGGCTTAGAGGCCACGAGGCGTCCGAATTGGCTTGAGGGTAATGCATTTTGTTTTTGGTGAAGATATAACTTGAGTGCCACTTACCAGAGTGTTCCAACCCTTGTTGATTTTCCTTTTCTCTGATCCCCAGAGGCCTTACTGTCTGTACACACAGTGCAGTATTTATGGAATCATGCCTCATATTACTTTCCTTGGGTCTTATTTCCACACTCACATTTTAAAGGCTACAATGCCACTCTTCTGTATGTTTCATGGCATGTAGCATAACAGACCCTTGAACTCTCCTACAAATATTCTTACACGCCTCTCTTTACTTTGAGCCAATCTGCTCTGTGTGAAGAAGGAAGAACAATGCTCCTTTCTGGTTTTTACTCATCTCTGACTTCTTTGGGCCTCTGCCATGTTTTACATGGTCTTCCAATCCATTGGCACGATGGCCCTTAGCTGGTGAAGTATGAGGTGACACCGCTAATAGACACAGTCAAAGGATATGGTTCTTTCAGGGCAATAAGATGCTACCACCGATTGAGGACATTCCAATATCACTGTCGGGATTGCTTAAGGAATCAGTGATATGTTCTTTTAAAAATTTTTTTGAGCTACAGGAGACAATAATTTACAAGACGGAGACAGGTTTTTGTTTTTTCAAAAAAAGTGGGGCCTGCACTGGAGATCCCCTTGCAGAGGGGTCTCGGGGAGGAGATGAACCAGTCAGGGTGCGATGTAACAATGATGAGAAATACAACTTTCCTCTAGTTCCTAAAGGTTTCCTCCCCGCTCCCACTACCATGACTCGAATTCGATCTTGCAAGTCTGGCTAGACCAGAGGAGGTACACTGGTACAGATAGGAACTGAAAATACAGGGAATCCAGGACGGATGAGCCCTACAGGACCAGTGGTGTGAGTGGCGAAACAAGGAGGGTAAAGGGAGAATGGGTAGGAAAGAGGGAACCGATTACATGGAACTGTGTGTGACCTCCTCCCTGGGGGACAGACAACCAAAAAGTAGATGAAGGGAGACGTCGGACAGGGCAAGATATGACAAAATACCCATTTATAAACTATCAAGGGCTCATGGCGGGAGGGGGGAGCGGGGAGGGAGGGGAAAAATGAGGACCTAATGTCGGGGGTTTAAATGGAGAGAAAATGTTTTGAGAAACAATGTACAAATGCGCTTTACATAATTGATGTGTGTATGGATTGGGATAACAGTTGTATGAGCCCCTAATAAAATGTTAAAAAAAAAAAAAAGTGGGGCCTGAGGGATAAGCCATGGGAAGGTTTGATTAGTTGTTGAAGATGTTGAATGCTGCAATGATGACCTGATACATAGACCCCCCCCACCTAATTCACCACAGAGAGTTCAAAAGAGCCTTTAGCTTGGGCAAAACACATGACAGAGGACGACATTCCTTGATTTAAAAAACTAAGTCTAACCACAAGGTGGTAAGATTTGTTTGTGTCTCAAAACTGACTTCAAACTCATGAAAGGAACAGGAAAAATAACTTGAAAATATAAAGTGTCATATAAAAAAAAAATACATATATATATATACATATACACTATTGATACTTGGCTATACATTGGGGGGAAGCAAAAAGAAATCAAATCCAAGAACAGGATGCATTCTGTTCCAGAATATAGTTTTGGAACATTAAGCTAATTAGAATTTCAGCTTCATATCTTATATATCACCCACAAAAGACTTTTTCCCCCAGGTGTTTCCCAAGTAATTATAAAGCAATATCGTTGGAAAACCACCTCCACCCCACCTTCTTTACTTCTTCGAGGTGAATCTCGGGGTAAAGTCCCATAGCAGGCTACATCTTGGTAACTGGAGCTGTAGTCAGGCATGTCCAACTGGTTCTCTGGCCAACCCTGCAAGGTAAAAATAGCGGGGAACTATGATTAAGCCCCTCTAAAATGAGAAACAAAGAAACAGATTGAGTTTCCTCTGTTTTGTTTTTTAAAGGAAGCCAAGTGTCCTACTTTATTTTTATCACAGAATATTTCAAACAGACAAAAGCACTTCATTCTATGTAAACTACACCTATGTTACAGCTATTTTTCAAATGATGCGAGCCCTCCCACACTCATTTCCATATGCATGCTATTAATTACATGTGAAATATATAGTACTGAATACAAGAAACACTATCTTACCCAAGTGATGAATGAATGCTCGCAATTACCGTCATAATTTAAGACTGAATACAATAATTACAAATAGACTGACATCCTCTTTTAGAGCACAACATGGTCCCCTCCTCCCTTCTCTCTCAGAGCTCACACACCTTAATGAATTTGGTAGATAGCTATCATTACCTAGATCACTTCAGGACCAAATTGAAATATCTTTCAGAATGAAGCCAAAATCAAAACCCAGTGCCATCGAAGGGATTCCAACTCACAGTGACCCTGTGCAGTTCTATGGATGGTTCTGCTTTTGTAGCAGGCATACAAAAGCTCTGGTGGTGGTGTTGGGTAAGTGTTGGACTGCTAACAGCAAGGTTGGGTGTTCAAACCTATCAGCCACCCCACGGGAGAAAGATGAGGTGTTTGTTCCCGTAAAGATTTACAAAACCTTGGAAACCCTAGGAGTCAGAATAGTCTCACTGATCGTGAAGAGGAGCAAGTATAAGCTAGTGAGTCTTGGGCAAACCAGGTGGTGAGATATATTCCATATACCTGGGATTTAAGTTCTACACAAGCACACAGTACTGGTATGCTAAAGAGAAGAAGCTTCTTGTATATAGGACAAACGTTTATTTAATCTTATTTCAACTTCTCAGGGGTTAGCTATCTTTAAGGTCCAGATTTTAAATTTTGATGAAATATTCTGCCTTTGCTCCTTTTGAATAATCCATAGTCCTTTCTTAAGCGAGAATTAATCAGAGACAATGTGTTAAAGAAATATGTGCTGGCTGACATGGCATTAAAAACTGCTCTTAAAAATAAATAAATAAATAAATAAAAATAAAAACTGCTCTTAATTGTAAATCCCTAATTTTATCCTCGAAATAATTTTGACTTTGCTTTGGTGGCTGTAATACCTTATTATGTGTTTGAGTTAGACTTATAAAGGCAGATTTTCACTCAATTACTGGTGTATAGAATGGCAATATTGAAATTGCAGAGCAAGTTGACATCAGAGTGCCTTAACTTGAAGGACCCCAAAAGGTCAGGGGGTCCGAACCCACAAGCTATTCCACAAGTGAAAGAGGAGACCGTTCTGCAGCCTGAGAAGCCCAGTGGGGCAGTTATACTCTGCCCTGTACGGTCTGTGTGAGATGTACAGAAAATGGTTTGCCCAAGATTAAGAATTTTTAAAAAACAACAAGATAGCCTGATTTTCCAGACTTATATTACACTAGGGTCCTAAATGTGCTCACAGGGACACACCTTATCATCCTCGTCAAAGCCAGAGAGGTCTGCTCGGCTGGAAGAAACCTAAAAGAAATGAATGGGTTTTGTCAATGTGGTTTACTCATTTCATAGAAACCTTGTTTCAAAAGAAGCATCATGTCACACAGAGAGTTGAAGCCCATATGGCACATGCTTCTCCTTTCATCTTAACCCCAGCAGTGATGACAAACCTACATTTGGGGTTTACCCTCCTCATACATGTTTCATGTAATTACATGTGTATACATCCAGAAGCATTATTCTGCATATTTTTGTACTTTATGTAAGTGGTACCTGATATAGTTTAATAATCCATTTGTTCTCTTCCCCAATGGATAGACACCTGGACTACATCTATTTTTTTTCCCTTTATAAACTATGGAGCAATGAATGCAGTTACTGCCTTTAAGCACCCTCTAAGTAGCACTCTAAATGCATCTGGCAAATACTGTTATGTGTACTGTTGCCAGCAATTAACTCTAAGTACATTCTGTCTAGCAACAGGAATCACTATAGCGTCTAGCTATCTAAGAAGCGGATGCCTGGGTGGTATGTAAGGAGCATGCATCTTCAACACTGTTCTTCCTGAAGAACTGTAAGATTTCTTGTAGCTTTTCAATCCTACAAGAAACTCTTTGGGGGAATGCACAGATCAATTTGCAGAGAGCCGACAGTGTTTCCCTACTGCTGCTAAGGGCAGTCTCTTGTTTCACAAGTTTGGCCCTTCTTTTGGGCTCCAGCTGCATGCAGGTTTTCTACTTCCCGATTCAGTTTGCGCAGGAAATTGACATTCTGTTTATGCGTTCACATCGACTGGTGTGATGTTTTGTTCTTTCAATGTTTAAATCTCTCTTCTGTGTTTTGGTACCTTTTTTTGCCCAATAATATCTGTATCTGCTTGCATGTTTTCTTCTCTTCTCCAAATCAATCCTAATTAGAGATCGGTCCATTTCACTAGACTTAAACATGAAAACAAAAGCCCCCTGCTTTCTAGCATGGTGGAGCCTCTCGATTGTTTCATGCACCTCTGCTCTAAGCTTCAGTGTTTCCTTCGACTTCTGCTCTACTATTTATTAGTTCCTCTTTGTTCCAATTTATTCTGATCACTTCTACTTTAAAACACTTTTCCTCTATAAATATTTCTCTATGAACCTCTAAGGAACGCTTTTGAAAGCCCTTAATACAATACCATGAGCATCTCTTTAAAAATTAAGTGAAGGGATAGAGGGGGAGGGGAACACATCCTGGCCCACCAAGCCCTGAGGACCATGTTCCTGTTCAGAGCAGCCAATGTACAGAGAGGACCATAGGGCTGGCCCCACCATGAGACACGATGTCCCTCACTGAGCCATAGCACTACAGGGGACAAGACTGGAGACACAGTGCGGGAATTGGGTCCAATCTGACCCCGACACATGGGGCAAAGCACTGAGGGCATGCAACAGAGCAGCAAGGGGAGCAAAGTGATGAAAGCCCTGGGGAATACCTAACATGGACTTTGGAGACAGAGTGTGGCACCCCATCAGACTTGACTGGGAAGCACTCGTAAAGGTCAATAAACAGACCTTGAACTATTTGTAGGCTTTTCCACTTTTGTTAGTGGCTTTCGTTTAGTTGTTATTTTGTTTTTGGTTTTTTTTCAGTTGTTGTTTGGCTTTGCCTGTTTTTTGTGCTTATTAATGTCTGTGCATGTATATCTCAATAAGATTGGCGGGATAAACAATTTGGAGCCGAAAAGAACAGGTCTGATGGTTCTGTGGGGTAGGGGGTACAAGAGAAAGAAAAGGAGAGGTGGGGAAGGGGAATCAGAGACAAGGGAACAACAAGTGAACTAAAATCAACGGAGAAGAGCGTAGGATGCTCAGTGGGGCTTAATCAAGGGCAATGTAGCAGCAAGGAATTACGAAGCCCAAATGAAGGCTAAACACGATGGTGGGACAAGAGGAAAGTAAAAGGAAATAGAGGAAAGAACCAGGAGACAAAGGACACTTATAGAGCTCTAAATACAGCCTTGTACATAGGTAAATATATACGTATATATTTATTTACATATGTATATATAAATATGTAACGAGAGGGGAATAGAACTATGTGTTTATATCTATATGTTAAGAATTAAGGTTGCAGATGGACATTAGGCCTCAACTCAAGTACTCCCTCAGCACAAGAACACTTTGTTCTAATAATCTGGCATTCTGTAATGCTCACCTTCCTGAGACAATCACTGAAGACAAAATGGGTGCATAAGCAAATGTGGTGAAGAAAGCTGATGGTGTCCAGCTATCAAAAGAGAGCCGTCTGGGGTCTTAAAGGCTTGAAGATAAACAAGCAGCCGTCAGCTCAGAAGCAACAAAGCCCACATGGAAGAAGCACCCCAGCCTGTGTGATCATGATCAGGCATCTAAGACGCAGAGCAAAACCATACCCAATGTGAATGGGATGGTGGTGGGGGGAGGACGTGGAGTGGAGACCCAAAGCCCACCTGTAGACAACTGGACATCTCCTCACAGAAGGGTCACAAGGAAGAGATAAGCCAGTCAGGGTACAGTATGGGACTGACGAAACACACAACTTTCCTCTCGCTCTTTGGTGCTTCCTTCACCCCACCATCATGAGCTCAATTCTACATTACAAACCGGATTAGACCTGAACATGCTTACTGCTACAGATAAGGGCCCGCAACACAGGGAATCCAGGATAGATAAACCCCTCAGGGCCAACAATGAGAATAGAGATACCAGGAGGATTAGGGGAAGGTGGGAGGAGAAAAGGGGAATGGATCACAAGGATCAACATATAATCCCCTCCCAGGGGGATGAACAACAGAAAAGTGGGTGAAGGGCAACAGAGGATGATGTAAGATATGAAAATAATAATCTATAACTTAAAAAAAGAGTACCACACAATAAATCCCCTTTGTTTATCGAGCATGGAAAAAAAACCAAAACTATAACTTAGCAAGGGTTCATGAGAGAGGCTGGGTGGGGGGAAAATGAGGAGTTGATGCCAAGGGCTCCAGCAGAAAGAAAATGCTTTGAAAATGATGATGCAACAAATGCACAAATGTGCCTGACACACTGGATGGATGGATTGTGATAAGAGATGTAAGAGCCCCCAATAACAGTATTTAATAAATTAAAAAACGTGAAAAAAATTTTAGTGATCCCTAAACAGTATCAAAGATCCCTAGATGTCTCAAAGACAATGTTACAGGTACTTTAGTTGCTCATGAATTAAAAACAAACTTGCCACTGGTTAATATATTCCTTACCTTCTTTAATCTTATGCTTTCCCTCCTTCCTTAACATTAAATAGAAACAGCAACTAGGTTACCTGTCCTCTAAAGTTTCCTGCTGTCTGAATGTTTGCTAACTGAATCCCTAAGATAGCACCTAAAACCGCCCTCTTTCTCTCCTAGACATTAGACGGCACACCTAAAGATTTGGCCAGAACCAGGCTCCCTTTCATTGTCACTAAGTAACTCACAGTGGTCTTTACATCTGAAGGCCAAGTGTTCAGCTTTTCATGTTTCATCTTTGCCTTTCTCGCGTAAGAGGTACCAACTTGCTAACAGTAGCTCTCCGTCTTTTACTCCTTCAGTTGTCTAAGCTTGCAGCTTGCAAATGGAATAAGCGGGAATTTACGGCATTTATACTGACTCAAAAGGAGCACACAGGGGTGGTGACAGGCAACGGCACCTTCCTTAAGCCTAACCAACTACATTCAAAGGCGTACTGGCTGGCAGTGCATGACCGCCCCACATCTCAAGCTCTATTTGTGTTTGTGTCCCGAGAAACTTCCTTCCAGAAGACCCCTTTCCGAGTGTTCTTGCTGGTGCTGCGAGTTGATGCAACCATGGATGCAGAGAACTACTCCACATGGCTTTCTTGGCGGGGACCTTTCAAAAGTCGATGCTAAGGCTTTTCTGCCAAGCCACTAAGGTGGATTTGAACCGCCGACTTTTAAGTTAGGAGTTGAGCACAAACCTTTTGCGCCACCTAGAGGCCTTGGGGTACGCCCGTTAAAGGAAAAGCCACGTGACAGGAGACTGCACCCTCTGGTGTGCGACATACAGTGTACCAGGTCCATTCCCACCTTGTACATCCCAACCTCCCACCCCTTACACTCCCCATACCCTCTGCTCCAAATCCCAAGGTCACAATCCTGTGAGGGGATGAGCTCAGGAGGCGTAACTTACATTGTGGACGTTTGGTGTGCTGAGGCTCCTCCGCAGGTGCCGGGCTTTGGTGGAAAATGCTTCTTTGACAGTGACAGCCTGTCCGGGCACAATAATTGGAAAATAACATTATTTGTTCCCTCTGATGCCAAAAGTCATGCAGCTTTTGTGTAGAAAACAGAGAACAGTCATGTCAATATCAGTGACCAATGCACAACATGGCCAATCTCTCTCTTTCCCCTTGCGCACGCACATACACACACACCCCTATACAGTAATCATAACACAAAATCTAGGTTGTATCCACTTGTTCCTTTAAAGCAAGATGTTTCGGATCGTCTTTCGTGTTGATCCACCACACACACGCTCCCGCAACTTCTACTAAGATTGCTGCTACGAATGGCCCCTCCTGTTTGACAGTTCCCATGCCAAGTGGATGATCTTTCTATTGAATGTCCCTCTGTCCCCTCAAAAGCTAACCTGAGTTCAAAAAGGAAGGAGGGAGTATTTTCTACGAAGAAGCACATGCATTTTAGCCAAACGGGGTCTACTTGCTGACTCTGGACCACTTGCTCACCAGAGGGGCAACCTTGGGCAAACGGGAGAGTGTCTTCTCTCAGCCTCCGTGCTCTCATTTGAACATGAGGGATGTAAAGAGTATGCACCCTACTGGGTTATTCTGGGGATTAAATGACGTGCACAGATCTAAACTACCCAGGCACAGGGCTCGGGAAGCAAGCCATCTCCAGTGAGGTCTGGCTGCTATTATCACTCTGGCTACTGCTTTGTCACACTCTCTTCTCTCAAAAGGTAGCTACGTGGGTGTTTCTGCCCTGGGAGGGTTTGAGAGAAGATGCTGGGAAAGAAGCTTTGACCATGCAGTGCGGGAGCTCAGGGGATCTAGCGTCGTGGGACAGAGGGCTCAGGTACTCGCCTGGCGGAGCCGCTCTAGGCTCAGAATGTTCTCCACCTGCAGCACACCCCGCGTGTACTTCTCGATGTACGTCTCCCCGTCTGCCGTGCCCTCGTTCTCACTCCTTGCCGCCATGAGAGCTAGCGTCTCCCGGTCCTCAATCTCCTCGGTTGCCTGGAGGGACAGGACCTCGTGTGAGCAACGGAGGCTAACGTTTCCGGGACGAACACATTCTCCAGGCTTTACGTATCTCTATCTATCTATCTATCTATCTATCTATCTATCTATCTATCTATCTATCTATCTATCTATCTATTGCTACTCACATAGATTTACGGTAGTGTGTGTTTTACCTTTGGTACATTGGATACTACTTCATAGGTGACACCACAGGAATAAACTATGTTTTTCAGCGATATTCTCCTCTTCAAACTCTGGGTGAAGCTCTGGGGAGGAAAGAAAGCTGAATGAGAAACTATGAAAGCATGGCCAATTACTATGTATCACCCACACACACACCATCCAGCAAACAGGAAAACCCTGAGCCTAAAGCTTCTCGTCTCCAACCCTGAGGGCGGGGCAGCACAGTGCGCTATCTGCGTCGGGGATTGGCTGAGAGCGGCTGTCGTGTGTCCCAGGGTTAGGCAGTTGCTCCCATCTGATGCTGCCCTTGAGGTTCCTTCTGGGCTTTGTTCAGGAGATGGGAGGGCTTCAGTTCTGCTTCGAGCTGCGTGACGACGGGATGGGGAGAAGCAACGGGCTAGGGCATCCACAGAGGCACCAGGCTGCGTCACCTCTCTCTCACGGTCAGTCTCCAGGGAAGCATCAAAGGCTCTCTGGCCTATGGGGCTTTGGGGTCTGCTGTATGTCCAGGTAGAAAACCCTTTTGTGTGGGTGACACACCCTCTGCTGTCCTCATGCCTCGCTGTCATGAGCAAATGGGCAGTGGGCTACAGGCCGCAGCATGGCCAGCGCGGTGACATTTTGTTTAGGAATCACATCATCCCCACAGAGCACGACTCGGGGGTGGGGGGCAGGAGGAGAGGCATGGGGCTCGGACACCCAGAGGCGGCAGCAAGCCCCGTGCCTACCTGCTTATTGTAAATGTTAGCCGCGATCCGTTTGCGCAAGACCAGCTCCATGGCAGCCGGGTGGCTGAGCTGGACGGTGGCCTTCACTATCAGGTAAATCCTCTCATTCTGGGGCGTGACCCTGTTCAAGTGAACGGAGTCATGCACTGAGGAGTCCCACGAGGCGATGGCTGAAACCTAGCAGTGGAGGGGAGGGCAGAGGGACAGAGAGAGGGCATAACTCTAGTGTAGCTGCGCTTTGCATCACAAAACCACGGAAGAAAAGAAATTCAGCTCAATTTAGTCAAATTGACCGCCTTTCCTCACCTTTTGTGAATTACAACCCACACGTTCTATTCCTGGGAAGTCCCCATTTTCTCTATCCTCATAGCAGACCCCCCAAACCCAATGCTATCAAGGAGATTCCTCTGCATAAAGTCACTACCCCATCGAGTTGATTGCAGCTCACGGTGACCGTGTAAGGACAGGGTAGAACTGCCCTAGTGGAATTCCGAGGCTGTGACTCTTTACAGGGTAGAAAGCCTTGCTTTTCTCCCTCACAGCAGCTGGTGGTTTTGAACTGCTGACTTGGTGGTTAGCAATGCAAAACTCACTTAAGTTCAACGGGAAGGCAGGCCTGGCTGGCCGACTGACTTGTGCCTGAACCTGAAGCCAGGTGAGAGAGCCCGAGGGCTCCATTACCTCATCGTCACTGTGCTTGATGATGGGCAGGTAGAAAAACTGGCTGCCGTGCTCCTTGGGCAGGATGGAGTTCACCCCCGACGCGTGGGGACCGACGAGCTGCTCGTTGGCGCTGAGATCATCCGCTAACCACGTGCAGGGCACAGGGGGAAAAGTGCCAGAGAAGTTAGGCTTTGATAAATGTCCCGCATTTTAAAAACACACTCTGCACAGTGAGGTTCACAGAGAACACATCGCGCTTTCTTATCCTGCAGCTGAAACAACAATTCTAAGAATGACAGCCGCTTTACCCTTTCCAGATACGACTAAAGATAAGCTGGCAAGCGCCAGACAGCTTTTCTCTTGGAGCTGCCTCTGACTTGTGGCGACCCGCTGTGTGTCAGAGAGGGCTTCGGGTCGCTGCTGGGATATTACACACGCTGATCTCCAGGCTCTTCTTCCACGGTGCCACTGGGTGGATTCACACAGCTGAACAGTTCAGTTAGCAACTCAGTCCACACTATCTGCAATGGCCAGGGGCCTACAGATACGCTGCGGGAGACTGGCTACCTTTGTCAATGTACTATCCAATGGGATGAATGAATTTCACAGGTCGATCTTCGCCGTAGCCTAATGGAAAGTTGGCTGTGTCATGGAACGCACACTACACTGGGATTGTCGCAGTTAAATGATCCACTGAGAAGCACAGGGCTCAGCCGATCTTATTCCGATGCCCTGCCTGATGAAGGATGCATCCTTCACAAGTCTCTGTAAATGGTCACCTGTTTTTTGCTTGAATGCTCCAATAATGAGGGTCTTACCACCTGTGGGATATAAAAAGACTTTTCCCCAGCTTTGTCTCTCCCAAAGATATGCCCAACCTTAGAGCAGTGGTTCTCAACCTTCCTTATGCCGCGACTCTTGTGTTGTAGTGTAGTGACCCAACCATAAAAATTATTTTCGTTGCTACTTATAACTGTCATTTTGCTACTGTTATGAATCAGTGACCCCCGTGAAAGGGTCATTCGACCCCCCAAAGGGGGTGCTACCCACAGGTTGAGAATTGCTGCCTTAGAGGCTGTTTGCCAGCACATGGGGGGGAGGTCAGATGCTTAGAGATAATATCCCTGAAGGCATCAGCCATCCAGAGCAATCAGAATACTGTCTGGTCCTCACACCCTATTGCTGCGATAGTAACTGTTTCCCCGGTGAGCTCAGAACCGGTCAAACAAGCTCAGTGACGTCCAAAGTTAGGCTGCCTGAATCTAGGATCCGCCCATCTTGTCACAAGTGTACCCCAATCCCTCCCCTTCCTATTGCATGTATACCCCTAGATCACCCCTCTCCCATTACTGTATTACCTATAGAACAACCCCTTCCTGTGATGTATGTCTTTACCTGTAATCAGGGGGCTTGCACGCCCCCAAAGACATATAAGCCCTGGCTAGAAATAAATCACGCGCTCTCTGCCATTCCCACCTCCCACCTCCCACGTGGACCACCAAGCGGGGCTGAGGTGAGCATGCGACCATGAACTGTGTGACTCCTTCATTTTACTTTCTCTCTTATTCTCTACGACGTCACTGTCATCTTTACATATCATCGCTGTACAATTGTGCCTGTTGGGCCTGTGATGATTTGTTAGGGGCTAGTTACCCTGACAACCACTTTATGAGGACCCCACAGAGGCAAATAAACTCTAGGCTTAAAAAAAAAAAAAAATTCTTCATGAGAGGAGCCCAAAGCACCTCTCTGTAACTCTCTTCCCTCTATTCCTAGATCTGTCTGTCATGTAGAACAGTGGGTTTCAGGGTACCTTTTGAGAAACCCTGAAAAAGACCTGCCAGGAACCTGCAACACTCCAAACAGCTGTCTTGCAGTGCGATGTATTGGGGGGGGGGGGGAGCTCCTTTTCAGAGTTCATTTTGATAAAGGGTTTTCTTGCTAAAACGCATAGAAAACCACTGTGCTAGGTTGTTCCAGGTTGCTATGCTATATTAAATTGCTCTACCCAAAACAACTCCTAGGAAACAATTTGAGGGGCAGGGCTATGAGTTACAGTGTGCTACTGGCATGGACACTGTCAGGTGGGTCAAGCCCTGGGGTATAAATGCAGTTCCCATAGCCTTCCCAAGCCCACAGGTTCAGATCTCTGGGGTGGTTACTTTCCAGGTAGGCCCACGAATGTTGAGAGCAACTGTGTTACTGTTTTATATACAGTTCTCCCCTCTCCTCCAGGGCTCTCTTTTTAGTTAACAAGTGATGTCATTCTCCCAAGGATTCTCTGTGTTGTGCGTTTACATATTTGACTGGACTAAAACTGCCGCCTCAGTATGGGCACGGGAGTCGTCAGAAATGTGATTTATAGAGCAAAACGGTCTCAGTAGATGACAAGCCTTAATGAACACGAGAATAACACCCCAGGGCTTTGAGTATTTACTTACCGTTCAAATCGAGGAAGAGAACAGGGATGTGGGCTTCCATTCCAGGAGGTGGAATCCTACATTGAATCACAAGGTTTAATTACAACTGCACACAAGTGCTTCACATTCCATCAAAAAACATTTGAAAATAAAAATAAAAAAAATAAAAAAAACATTTGAGAACAGCCCGCAGGGGCAGCACAGCCGGAGGACAGCCCTGAGAAACCCAGCTCCCTGACCTCAGACAGTGGAACGTTTTGAGACTATCTCCAACAGGAGAGAGGCTTGAGGGACGAAGGGCCAGCAGCAGGACTGGGATGGCCCGTCCACAGGTGGTGGTCAGCGACTACCTTCCACAGCGCCTCCAGGGCCGGGCACAACCGGAGCATTTAGTGTGAAGAAGCAGGTCCCACATCACGGCCCGCAGAGTCAGATGTCCAAGTGTTACGAAACAGACCATGGAATAAACGACACTTCCACGTGCCATTACAAAAGAAGCCACTGTCCTCTACCTAGGTGGCTGTAAAGCACAGTGGTCCCTTTGTCAGAATGACACGTGCTCCACGGGGTTGTGATATTTTTTAAGGACATCACCAGGCCTTCTGGGTAGATCAGAACAGCAACCTTCTGGTTAGGGGCTGAGCTCCTGGCTGTGTGTACCACCCAGCTTGCTCACCTACTGCCATGGAGTCTCTGTCGACTCATAGTGACCCTACAGGGAAGGGTAGAACTGCCCCTGTAGCTTTCTAAGACTGTAAATTTTTATGGGAGTTGCAAACCCATCTTCCTCCCAAGGAGCGGCTGGTGGTTTCGATCTCCTGACCTTGCTTTTAGCAGCCCAATTTGTAACCACTATGCCACCAGAGCTCCTTGCACCACCCAGAGACTCCTCATTTATCATGAGAGACACAAATGTCACTCATTCATCTATACCTGCCCCAAATAGATGAAACCGCATATGTTCTAGGTATAAAAAGAACCTGATTTCTCCTAAGCACCTACGACTGTTAACAAGAGTGAGAAGCAGCAGCCGGTTCAGGGAAAGGGTGCTGTGCACAAGGTCCTCAGACACACGATCTCTAATCCTCACAACCATGCACTCACTCCCAGGGGAAGTTCCCCAATAGACTGGCAAATCCAGCCTCAGCAAGGTTAAATAACGTCACGGTTGCTTTCAGGAAACACAAGAGGGCTTCAAAATATTTGTGGGAAAATCCCGTTATCTTTTCCTTCCATTTTCCCCATGAAGTTTTGGAAGCTCCTTCATCCAGCTGAGAGTTGAAGCTGGAAACGAAAGCAGATTGATTTCCTTCTGGAGCCTACGACATAATGTTGCTCTCTTCAGGGGCATACGTAGGATGTATCTGTCGACCCACGGATTCCTAACGTCCATCTGCAATGCTTACGTGGCTTTCTCACTCTATGCTAGGCACCCAACTAGACAAGCATGAAGTCCAAGAAGGTGATACATTTTCTTCTACCCTCTTCAAGTAGACTCTGAACTCTCATTCTTTCAAGTCAAAAGGGAAGAATTCGGAAGACGAGGAAATAGTATCCAAGGCATCAGAATCCTGGCCAGAGAAGGGCTCTCCTCGTCCCCGTGCAGGGAGCCCGCAGAGGGCAGGGACAGGGCCTGCTGGCTGGCGCTACCTCAGACAGTCCTGGAAGTGACATGCCTGGTGGTGTCTGCCATCATCACCCGGCACCACGCTGCCAGGCGTGCCCTGAAGAGAGATGCGACTCACCAGTCGGCAGGCGCTCCTGGGATGCCACTGCCCGGCGCTGGGACGAGCACCGAGTTCCTCTCCTCAGTCAGCCCCACCCACTGCTCCACGAGCCGGGCTTCCCGCTCCACATCGTCCTCTGTTTTCTCTACACAGCAAGACAAGAGGCGGGTGTCAAGGAGGGAGCGACAGGGCCGTTTCTACCTTTCAAACGCATGGCTGGATCCTTACGCAGTGGTCCTTCCTGGCGACCCTCCTGTCTAGGGAACAGTGGCCTTTGCTCAGCGCACCGTCTCCCCGAGTGTGGTTCAGGGACACGGAGCGGGACGTACCCTGCTTGTTGCTGACTTTCTTAATCTGTTCATCTAAGTATTCCCGGCGTTTGAGGAGCGCTTCAGACCACCTCTCTCGTACACAGTTCAGATCTTCTTCCTGAGACCAGAGAGAGAGAGAACACATTGTGCTACGCGGTGGTTTCTTGTTTTTCCTTTTCAAGGTCAGTTAAGTCGATGAGGAAACTTCTCATTAACAAAGGCCATTGGGTATATAGCTGTGTGATTAATATGCAAGGAAGCAAAGAGGTCTCAGTAATGCTACATGCTGATCAAGGAGCCCATTACCAGAAAGCAGAGTCCCTGGATCACCAAGAGCATCATTAGACTTAGAAGCAAGGTAAGTTCAAACGCCACCAACTACTGGATGCTGTGAACGAGGTGTGCGTTATCTGAATAGTGGCTATTCATTGGAAGGACCTGTGATTCCGGGCAGGGCACCGCGAACAGAGCCCAAACCATGGGACAGTAAACGGAAATGGAACCAGACAGCCAAGGGCATGGCACACCCTTCCGTGACCCCTAGCCAGCAGACACTAGCTGAAAACGCTAGGACGGGGGACAGAGACCCTCGCAAACTTGCTGCAAAGATTTTTAGTAGCAACACTCCTCCCGAGGCCCCCAAGCCCCCCATACAGCCACCCGTGTACATGCAGCCGTGCTTTCAGAAACCCCAGAGGCGGCTAGAGGCCTGCGCCAGGAACAAGGAGTCTGGACGCACACCCAGAGCCCACAGGACTTTAGTGCATGGCGTCACCGCGACTCCAGGGGTGGGGACAGATTGCCCTCGGAATTGTTCTTGGTTCGCCTTCTTCCTTAGTGAAAGTGTGAGGAGGGGAAAAGTCCACTGATCCGATCCTGTTTCCCAATGCTCTTGGGCTTGCCTTATCCCACTCCAACCTGGGAACCATGCTAGTGGTCATCTAGCCAAGTCTGACCCCAGGCGGCCCCTGTATTACAGAACAGAGCTGCTCCACAGGGGGATCAGGGCTGTCGCCTCAATGCAGAGGAGCCGTGGGGACGCAGTGCTCCAGCGCTCGGTGGCTAAGCAGAAGAGCCGGTGGTTTGCACCCACCTGGCTTGGAGAGCCTGTGCTGCAGGTTTGCTGAGTCAGAAGCGACCTGCCAGGGGTAGGATTTTCCCCCTTAATGGCAGTGGACTGGCAGGCCTATGTGTCCGTTGTACCACTGGGAGGGGTGGAACCGCTAACCTCCAGCTGGTGATAGAGTACAAACTGTCTGTTCCACCCAGGGGCCTTCCGTTCAGAAGAGACCCACGCTACCTGAGGGCCATGGCGACTTCTCCTACAATGCAGCCCAGTCTGGGTAAAGGACGGCACACAGGGGAGCAGCCTTTACAAACCTGTGGGAAGGATCAGTGCAAAGACTAGGACCCAAAGCCAGCAAATGGCATCTCCGTTTGCAGCTTTGACCCCTGCCGCCGTCCACATCCCGTGAGGCAAAGTGCCACCTCTGCCTGTATCTTCTTCACGATTTCCCAAGAGAAAATGCTGAGCCTTGAATTCTAAGCCCGTTCCCAATGACTTGGGGAAGGTGTGTGTGTGTGGGGGGGGGGGGGGGTTGTGGGTGGAAGCTAAAACAAAAAGATGCTGTGCATCAAATGGCTTCAATTTTCTTACGTAGCAAAAGTTTTTTAAAGTAAAACGGCATAGGTGCACAGTACCAGTCTCATGGACCTAACCAGCAAAGTACAGGTGAGCAAAGGAGAGAAGGCTACAGCTCAAGATGATGGATGAGTCACTGTGTGCTATCTGAGATCACTCACTCCAACGCAGTGATGTGCACTTGCTTAGCCAGGCTTTACAAGCTAGTCATTTGAGATGGTGTAAAATGCTGTAAACTGGCAGGGAAGATGGCAGGAAGTCCAAGGGAATAGGACAGTGTCTATTAAGGCTGATTAGGATTCAAGCAAATCAAAAGCCAGTGGACAAACGGCACATTCTTGCTCTCCTGCCCTTCCTCCTCCCTGCCCTCTGCTTTGCAGACGCTGGCCATTAGCAGTAGCTGTGCCCCATGCCAGAGGATCGACAGCAGCAGCAATACCTGATAACTATCCATATCATCACCATCCTCATCATCTCTCTGCTAGGAAGAAAGTAAACACAAAGGACATGCATTTTGTTTCTCAAACAGCAAAGAAAATAATTCTGCAGCTTAACATACACACATTATACAACAGCATACAACATCAGCATAATAAAACACTTAACTGAATCTCAAGGAGTTTAGTGGATTTCACTTAGCTGGCCATGATCATGTGAAGAATTTAAGGTCATTTAAAAAGTGGAACGCCCTCATTATGCAAATAGTTGGCATGCATTTACAGGTGGGCGCTTTGACTTTGGTTTTCGATGGGTTTAGAAAGACAGGAAGGGAAAAACTAGAAAGAACATATACCACCTTCCTTTGGTGAGCCACTAGTCTCATCCAGGAGGGAAATGGGGCCTGGGAAAGTGAAACGGCTGGATCCACGGGCATATAGATCCTGGCAGGGTCAGGGAGAGAAACCAGGCTTACGGAGATCACAGGGAATCTAAGGCTACAGTCAGGCAAAGGCTCCACATTGTACAACTGCAATGAGCCCACAGCCAGCTACTTTGATCATGGGGCTCTATCAATATCCAGTCAGCTGGGGAGATTGCAACTGTCCCAACCCCACGGCAACACTGAATGCTTTTGTTACTGTTGCTAGTTGCTCTTGGTTTTATTCCAATTCATTTTACACTACTTACCTAAAATTTAAAATTTTGGGGGGAAAAAAAATCCCCCCTTTCCAAAACAGAAAACCACTATGCTAAAAAGAAAAGAATTCTCGGTGAGACAATATCCTTTAAACGCAAGAATGTAGAAACTCCCGTTGGCAGAGCACAACCACCCATATGAGGGTAGGTGCTACAGTATTTCCATGCAGATAACATGCATGTTATACAGGTTTTTGTATTTTTTTCAAAGTGAGCGACTCTCTTGTGCACCAGCTCCCTGTGCATGCTCTGTTCGTTACCTGCACGTGTGTGTGATCTTCACGGGTGTGTTCTACACAAACATAATAATACAGTGCTCAAAATGAAGGCTGGATCATGTGCAGCCTTCTCACGTTTTCCTGTGGTTACTGGCGGTGCTGCTGGGCAAGCACTGCACTGCTAACAAGGTCAGTAGTTTACACCCACCAGCCCCTCAGACGGGGAAGGATGAGGCCGTCTACTCCCATACGGATTCATCGCCTCAGAAATGCTGCACAGGATCGCTGTGCGGTGGAACTGACTGGACGGCAGTGGCATGGTCACTGGAGGGGCTGACTCAACAGACAGTTTGTGATGTGGACTACTTATAGGAGACACGAAACTTTTTTTTTAACGTTTTAAAGAGTTTGCAAATATATTTAAAATCATTCTCATATGTAGGTAGGCTTCCAAACACACTTGTTTCTTTTTTTCTGTGTCCGCCTGACAAAAGAGAGAGCATTATTGGATCTTAATATTGGTATGAAGTATGAATAGGGAGCCCCACATTAATGACAGATGTACTAGAACTTGATGATTAATTTCTACAACCAAGAGTTACTGAAAAATGGCATTGCTTTCATGATGTGAAAGGGCTGTGAAGCCACCATATTCTGGGTTGGTCTGAGCTGTTTCACCAGAATTAATTCTACAACTCAATGTCCACACCACATAAACGTACTGCACATGACCTTGAGCATGACAGCAAAGTAGAAAAACACAAAGGAACAAAATACTTTTCAGATCGCTACAGGTCAGAGCTGTGTAGCTGGTACTGCGTTTCTTACAAGAGTGCAGCATTGGAAAAAGGTTGATGATTCAGAATCACAATTTTGATCATCGGCTTTAACTCTCGTAGGATTGTTTTTAAAAAAAGGCGTGCGTATATGTGTAATAATCATCGACTCCTTATAATGGTCCTTGAATGAGCATTTAAGTCATTGAGGATCCATATTTTGTTGGTTATGATGGTACAGGACACACAGACTCAATGGTCTATCTATGGAGAGACTGATGATGTCCCACCACTTAACGGCAGAAAGGGACCTGAGGGAATTAAGAAGCCCATACCATCATTTCAAGGGGTGTTTTTGACACACAGAGCTGCTGTTTAATTGACCCCATCAAGGTAGTCATTTAGTAAGGCTGCACTAAATTCAGGAGCCCAAGTCCCTATCAAGGCCTGCAGCTCTCCCAGGAATGACACCCAGAGGAGGGCCCATCTGGGATGAGAACAGCGTCTCAGCCGGTGTCCACGCCACATCACAAAACCCCTACTCACTGCCACAGAGTCAATTCCGACTCACAGGGACCCCACAGGGCAGGGTGGAGCTGCCCCTGTGGGTCTGAGGCTGTAATTCTTTACAGGGGTAGAAAGCCTCATCTTTCTCCCTTGGAGCGGCTAATAGCTTAGAACTGCTAACCCCAATGTTTAACCCACTACGCCACCAAGGCTCCTTACATGCTGCATACACATAAGGAAAGACTGGTGGGGAAGCCCCTCCCCCACCAGCTGAGCCCACCCTCAGATCCTCTTTCATCTTCTCCCCTGGACTTCCAGAGCCAGAGGGCTACATTGGCCTGGGGTAAAGAAAGCTGGGGCTGGCTCAGCTCTACCTGAACAAGAGCCCAAGCGTCTGCCAATAGGTTCCGAGCTTTCCTCAAGAGCTTGGCCTGAATGTCAAGAGGAAACGGAGAAAGAAGATGAATCATGTTCAAAACTAGCTGGGCTGATGGCCATACTCCACAGAGAACCTCGTGGAGTAATGCTCTATTCTACTCACGATTCCCTGTAAGAGAGGAAGTTCTCCCTGTCCTGTATGGCAGGGAAGAAGTCAGACTGCATCACTCTGATTCTACCCAGGCCCAACTTCAGATCTAGTAGCACACTGGGGGTGTATCACACCAAGGGTGTAGCATACTGAGGGTGTAGTCACTGAGGGTGTAGTGCCTGAGGGTGTAGTCACTGATGGCATAACACCCTGAGGGTGTAGTCACTGAGGGTGTGGTCAAAGTCCAGCCTAGTTCATGCTCCCTCCCGGCCACTGGGGAGCCACTTCCTCCTCTCATGGAGCACTGAAGAGTTCTGAATGGTAGCATGAGACCAGCCCTTAGAGGGTTTACTGTTTTGTTTTATTTTTCCCAGTGAGAAGGGAAGATTTAATGCAAGGAGATTTAATGAGAAAAATAATCATTCAGTAAATTTGTTTGAGAAGAATAAAGAAAGTGGAAATTTCAAAAAGCTAGCTCCTAATGCCAGCATGTGGGGGAATATTAGGGTAGAAATATAAAAAGGGACCCACGCAGGCCCAATTACAAAGACCCAGCACCAGCTGGGCCACATTATCAGATGAACCCGCCTGACAAGCGGGCCCTCGTGCATCCCTGTGTGTGTTTCTATATACAATTACTCAATTCTAAGAAAATGAAGAATTTTACACCTAGACAAAAGGCAATGACAGATGGGACAGTGAGCCGGGGACAGATATTTGGTTCAGGCACGGCGATCTAGGACATTTCCAAGTCAGTCCCATCCTAGGTCATTCCACAGCGCCGGGCTCTGTTCGACACACTCGGTGGATCCGCTTGGCTTACCTGGTAACTGTCCAGCCCTCTCTGGAGCCTGGTAGACCTGGCTGTTACACAGCCCACGGAGACGGACAGGATGGCTTCCACCATGAGCGGCAGCGTCCCCGAGTGCTGCACAGGCGTCACCGCGACCCGCACTCGACGGGAATGGCCCTGCAGACCGACGGGAAGCAATGCCCGAGAGAAAGGGCGAGTTAGGGAACAAAGAGAGGGAAGGAATTAAGGGACGAAGAGGCGAATGATTAGAATATGCCCAGAGACGTTTTTTCAGGTAGGAGGACCGGGGCAAACCAGGAAAGCAGACAAACTGAAAACAAACGTTATCACCTGTCTCAGCTGGAAGACGCCGCCCGTGTTGACATCTTTAGCCTGGTGAAGTTCCACGGACGCATATTCCCCTAACTCGTTCAGCTCCAGTATGGAGATCCACATCTCAATTCTGCGAGTCACTTCATTCCACCTGCAAGGCCACCACGCAGCACAGGTCATCGCCACCATCACCCAGGGCCACGGTAGCCAGCACTTCACCGCTGACCATGTGTTCATGTTCAGATTCTTTTCCTACTTGACTCTCAAAACATTTCTCTGGTATGCGTTCATTTTACTTATCTTGCTGATGTAGAACTTAGCCTTCAGAGACACAGCTAGGTCTGGGGCACGTACACTGGGGATGACTTCTGATATAAACGCACACACCAGTGTGACCCACGCTGTCATGACTTCTGCTCCCTTCCCCATGCCTCGTCCTGTACCGTCTTCTCACTCCCCTCCGCTGCCATTTAAATCCCGAGGGAAATTCTGCCGGTTCTAGAACTTTACATAAACACAACCAGGCACCCAGGCCTCTTTTGTGCCTGGCTCCTTCCCTACAGCTTAACCTTGCTAAGGTTCATCCAAGCGACTGCCAACAGTTCTATTGTTTTTAACGCTGCGCAGAATCCCACTGGATGAATGAGTGAGCACTCCACAGCATGTGTGTGCCCATTCTATTGTGGGGCTCATGTGGGCTGTTTGCCATTTGCAGGTATTCTGAACAAAGCTGCCATGAACTACTGCGCACAACTCTGTGGCCATGTGTTTTCGTTATCTGGGGTAAAAGTGCTCAGGCGTGGGGGTGCGGGGTCACAGAAGAGGTGACTGCTCCCTGGAAGGGGTACTGCTAGTTTTCTCCCAAGTAACAGCTTGCTTATTTGTCTTCATAACACTATCTTTTGGTTAGCCTGAGCTTTTCATTTTGAGACTTTAATTGATACGTTATCTGAATTGATGATTACTTCCTTTCTCCGTAGTTAGTGCTTTCTGTGCCCACTGTGGAGTTCTGTGACCATCCTGTATTCTTCTAGAATTGTCATAGTTTTAATGTTTATCTTTGAGGACATGATGCATTGCAAATTAACGTGTGTGTGCAGGGTGGATCAGTAAGGATGGGGTTTGGCTCTCCCCCCAACCAAATGTACATATACAGTTGTTTTAGTCCTATTAATTAAAAGATATTTGGTTTCTAATTGAAAGGTCAGCAATTCACACCCACCGGACGCTCAGAGGGAGATTGATGAGGCGTTCTGCTCTCATAAAGATGTACAACTTCAGAAACCCACAGTACCTGGGCAGTGCTACTGTCCTATAGCGTCCTATAGATTTTAGCGTTTTTTAATCCATCTTAGAGATGAAAAGACAGGAGATCCAATGGATCATTCTCCACTGGATTTCCTTGGTACCTGTCGGTTACTTTTATCATGTTTACTTTATAAAGGAAGGAACAGGTTCAGAGAGATTCAGTAACTTGTTCAAAGGACCAGCAGCAGGCCCTGAGTACAGAGCCTGCACCACTATCCAAGGGCAGGTTCTGGCCCTGTGTCTGAAACCCACAGCCAAGCGCACACCTGTCCTGCAGCGTCCGGGTTTTAGCGTGAAGGGAATCCACTTCCCAGACGGAGCTTCCGTTCCCAGCACACCGGTGGCCCCAGACTTCAATCGCCAATGCTCCGTCAGAAATGAACTCCAGGAATTCTTCTGTTACGCTCACCACATAGTCCTGAAGCACGGGGAGGAAGGAGACAGGAAGAACAGCTGCACTGACTCACTGATACGCAAACCAGAGGGGAGACGCAGATTACTTAGCTTAAAGGGGAAAGCAGAAAGAAAAATTTCTGAAAACAATCCTAGTGATCATATAACAGGGTGACTGCAGCTGACGTCACTGAATTATACTGGGGTGGGGCAGGAGTAGAGGAATGCAGAGAGGAAGTTACATAGTGACATTTCTTTTTTCAACTGTACATCAATGCGATTCAGAGCCCTTCAACCTGAGCCCAGTTTAAAACCATCTCTTAGTTACATGAAAAAACCAGTAGGAACTCCGGAATATTGCATCTGGAAGAGAGATTCCTTCTCTAACAAGCGAGAGAAGCCGAGATAGCAATCTGTCCCAGTCCACACTGCTTGCTGGTTACAGCGCTGCTGTGGTCCGACTTCCCTTCTGTTTCCCCCGGCCGCTCCACCTTCTAGTCGGCCCGCACATGTTTATTCCGCACATCAGGACAGGGACTTGTGGTGTCTCTTTTCCACAACGTAGGGGACTGGCAGTGGAATAACACATCAGCTCACTCTCTTTATAATGCCGTGTTCTGAAACTCTCCCTCTCTGATCCCTTATTCTAGAACGCACCCAGGTAACTGTGAGGAAAGGAAATACTGAAGGAGTAGGTGACCGATCACCTACAGAAACACAAGGGCAAAGAATCAAACCAATTGCCGGTCCACTGGTTGTTATGGAATCTCAGGGGGAGTCTTTGTACGTAACTCTTAATTTCAGGGAAGAGCAGGGCTATGCTGATTTAACCTTCCACGATCTTTCAGTTATTGCAAGTTCAAACAGGGCCAGAGCTTTAGAGAGAAGGAGATTGTGGTGCAGTGGGTTAAGCATTGGGCTGCTAATGAAAAAGTCAGGAATTTAAATGCACTTGCCACTCAGAGGGAGAATGAGGCTTTCTGCTCTCATAAATACTTGCAGCCTCAAAACCCCCAGTGCCTGGGCCGTTCTATTGTCTACAGGGCTCTACAGAGCTTAGAAAAATTTCAAAATCCACTTCAGAGCTGAAAACTCAGGAGATCCAATGAGTATATGTAGCCTTTGAAGGTCGCATAGTGACGGGATGACCCATTCTTATACATACAGGGGTTAACTCAAAACCCACTGCCATCAAGTCTGCTCCAGCTCACAGCGACCCTATAGGACAGAACAGAACTGTCTGTGTGGGTCTCTGAAGTTACAGATCTTTATGGGAACAGAAAGCCTCCTCGTTCTCCCTCAGAGTGGCTGACAGGTTGGAACTGCTGACCCTGTGGTTAGTCGCCCAAGGACAATGCCAGAGCTCCTCTAAATGGTTAACGAGGAAACCCCTGACATTTACATTTCACCCTTCTAAGCAAGCAGCTCTCAGGATCTCAACGAAAGAGGGGGAAGGTTTAAAAGAGTATTCTAACAACCATAAAAATGATCAATGAAGATTCTAGGAAGTAGACTTGGTCAATCCAGGTAAAGAAATGGGAGCTACCTATTATCAGAAAAGGCCCAGGCATCTTTACGTTAAGTGAAGCGCTATGTTCCTGTGGTGATGAGGCAATTCTGTGTTCTAAGTGGAGAACCAGAGAGAGAACAGGAGTCAGCTGGCCAGGATCTCAGTGGGGTTTCCATGGGAAAACAAGCAATGCTGTGGATGGAGTCTGTCTGTCAGAAATGCCGTGTTGGCTGCACTGCACGGAAGCAAGGGAGGGCAGGTGACCTCCCAAAGCAGATTCATCTAACACACACCCCAAATTCACTGGTCCCTTTCATGTCTATAAGAGGCGTAGACACTAACATACTCCATGAATTTTAAAGAGAGAAAGAGAGAAGAGCTTCTACAACAGGTTACATGCTATGACAGCCACATATATTAAAATAGTAAGCGCAAACCTGGAGAAGATATACCATAACCCCATTTTTTTCTGCAATAAATAAATAAATAGTTTAGGAAATTATGAACACACGATAGCAAATATGTATTTTAGCCCAACGTATGATGTCATGTACATATGTTTAGTGTAGAGCATAATTTGGTATGTTCCAAAGTTTATTACAGCTTGAATGTAGTTTCCTGAAGTATGTAGCATATTGCCATCAGTGGTGACACCTTGGGGAATTAGATTCTGGATAAAGGATTCCCCCCCACCTTTCAGATTTTATTTACAATACTTCCGAGTGAATAGAATTTCTAAGTGGGCTTTGTACTTAGGGGACGAAAATACATTTTGAGGTTCACAAGAAACCCAACAAAAAAGCCATAAATGCATGCTTTAAAAGTTCTGGGGGAAACCCTTTCAGCTCCCGAAGGATCCCTGCTGGCACCTGGGCCGGGCTGTCTGCCCCAGGAGCTGCTTTGGCGAGGCCCCCTGTACCTTGCAGTGGGAGAAGGTGACGGTGTACTGGGCGTCCCTGGACTGTGGGGAAGGCACTTCTGGGTCCACCACAGGCGCAGCCACTGTGGACTCACACTGGTCCCAGAATGTGTATTGACAGAAGACAAAATTCGAGAGGTTTAAGGGCAGTCCAGATGCCTCTTTGATTTTTACCTGAAGAGAGAAAAATGCAAATGTGACTCTGATGAAAAAGATAAACAAATAAGGAATCAATCTGATATCTGAAAACTTGCCGCCCTGCTCCATTACGGACTTTCCTTTCAAGTAAGTCTATGTACCTGCAGTCCATATACTCGGCAGCCCATGTACACACACACACACCCTAAAGTTCTTCACAATGACGGAATTTCTGGAAAGTACATAATTAATGGAGCAGTATGAAACCAGCTGTGGTTGCTTCCGACTCGTGGTGACCCTGTGTATCTGGTCAGAGCAGAACGGTGTGCCACAGGGATTTCAATGGCTGAGGTTGCCAACCACAAGGTCAGTAGTTCAAAACCAGCTGCTCTGTGGGACAAACATGAGGCTTCCTACGCCTGTAAAGAGTTACAGTTTTGGAAACCCACAGGGCCAGTGCTCGCCAGTCAACTCGATGACAGTGAGCTGGGTTGGACATTTGATTTATTAACAGGAGATCACCAGGTCTTTCTTCCAAGGCTCTCATGGGTGGACTCCAACTGCTGACCTCTCCATGAGCAGCCAAGCCTGCTAACCGTTTCCATCACCCAGAGGGCCCAAGTAGGAACATATGCTCCGTGAAACTAGGCAATGCACCCTGCTTGCATGCCAAATAAACACAGATATGCATTTGAAATTTTAGGCCACCGCCCTCAGAGAGGCCCCATGGGTGCGGACAAGAATGAACCGTCTCCTAGGGTATTTAGAAAGAGGCGTATCTCTGCGGGCCTCCCTACGGCTGCTGCCTTCTCACCCGGCACGTCAGTTTTTTGACTCGGTGAATGACCTCCCCGCTGCCGTCTACGACTTCCAGGCTCCCACTTCCACTGGAGTTCTCCGAGGAGTCGTCCTCCACCACGCGCTCTGGAACGGCCCCCGTGACGCGCATTACCTCCACATGGAGACGCCCTGCAACCTGTGTCCAGGAGAGACAGCACCTCCAGTTAGGGACCATCACATGCACACCCTGGCCAAAGGCAGAAACGCATTCTATGGTATCCCCGGCCAGCAGCTCGGAACCTATGGCCTGCTCCCTCTAGCAATGGTGGCTTCCCTTCTCCCAGAGCCAGGCCATGCCAAGGAGTCCTGTAAGCCTTATTTCAAGCCGCATTTGCCTCCATGAAGTCGGGCACTTATCCACTCAACAAATACTCACCAAGAATCGGCTCTGTGCCGGGAACTGGGCTGAGCACTGTGCTATCACAGTACAGCAGGTGGACAGAGCCGCAGCTCAGCATGGAGCTAACGCTCTGGGAGAAGAGAGCAGCTACACCGCTCACACTAGAATTGGGAGGAGGAGGGGGGGGGAGGGTTCCATGAGGTGGCGACACCAGTCCTATCCCAGGATTAACAGCAGGCGTCAGCTGTGTTTACAGTGGTCTGTGTTTAAAAGTCTCTAAGTGTTCGCCCTATCCCAGTGGCTCTCCAATAGGTTCATTTAGAAGTGGCCCTCCTAAAGTTGGTGGCACAGAACTGAATTAAATGACGGCGGTTGTGCGGCTATCAGGGTACGCTGGTGGCAAAGGAGGCTGTGGCTGAAGCATTGGGCTGCTAAGTGCAGAGCCACTCACAGCCCATGAGGCTGCCTGGCCTCGTACACACTTAGCCTCACACACCCTCAGCAGCCGTTCAACTGTTCCAGAGTCACTCCGCGTCAGAGCTGACTTGACCCTAGTGGTGCAAACCCAGCTGCCACTTGCCGGGAAAGAAAAGTTTTCTCCCGCACAGCCTTAGGGAGTCCCACCCTGTGGGGCAGCTGTCCCCTGCTGTACTTGCTGCAATCAACTTGATGATAGCGCGGTGTTGGTTTTTACCGCTGAAACTTTCATTCCCGGCAAGCACTGATGGAAGGAAGAAGAGGCTTTCTACTCCTGTAAAGAGTTACCGGCTCGGAAACCCACAGGGGCAGTTCTACCTTGTCCGAGGAGTGGGAACTGACTCAACTGGCACTAAGGGCTTTTGGGGTTTTGGTTTCGTTTGGAGAGTGCTCTGATTGGCTGAGCTATCTTTTGTGACAGGGTTTCAGGATGAACTTGATGCTGGGTTGGGAAGAGGACACAGGGTTCTGCCAGTGGTATTGTCATTTTGCAGCAAATGATGGCAGTTCTTTTTTTAAAGATCGCTCAGACCCAATTCCCACACAGCAATTAGCACTGGAACCAAAGACCTGACAGAAATTACCTGATAACATTTGACAAATCAGACAAATCCAGAAGGAATAAGAGGAAGAAAGAAGAAGAAGAAGAAGAAGAGCTCCAAACAAAACAACCAACTGAAACAGCAGTTCTCAATCAGCGGGTTGCGACCCTTTGGGGGCAAGGTGTCAAACGACCCTTTCACAGGGGTTGCCCGATTCTTAACAGTAGCAAAATGACAGTTAAGAAGTAGCAACACAAATAATTTTGTGGTTTGGGGTGGGGGGTCACCACAACATGAGGAACTGTATTAAAGGAAGGCTGAGAACCACTGAACTAAAGATAGTAGCTCCAGCTTTTCAATTTTTTTTTTTAAAGAATGAATACACTTTAAATATGATTTCAAAGACATTCATGCAACACCCAAAATACAACATGGGCCCCAGCTTGAGAACTGAGCTGAGGACTCAGCCCTTTCATTCTCGGCTACATTTCTTTATCGGCTTATTCATCCTATTTCCCTCCTCTAAGTTTTCCTACATTATTTTTTCTTAAATTCACTTATTTTGTTGTGGCTGCGAAGATACACACAGCAAAGCACACCCCCAATCCAACCACTTCCTCCCACACAGGCTGGTCACATGACTGTCTCCAAGTTGCACGGTCCCCGCCCCCAGCACAGACACTGCCCTGCTCTAACTTTGGGTTGCTGTGGTCAGGGCGATCTCAACAGAGCATCCTGCTCAAGGTGCCTTCTTGGTAACTAGTTAAGCAATAGGACTTAACCACTGCTTGGTTTTCAGATGGCTTCAGGGGATCTTTTTGGTGTACTTTAAAGATTACCTCACAGCAATCGCTTGACAGGTTCATTCACCCTCCGTGGCACCAGGGAGCCTAGAGTCCTGAAGATTTTGGAATGGGCATGCTGGTTCCTAACCCGGGAAAGAGCAGCCCTCATCACAGGTTTCTTACACGGGGTGGGGGCTGCCAGCGCCATGGCGAGGGACCGGTATCTCAATCCCAGCTTCACGTTGTGCAAGGCGGGACCTTAGCCTCAGCTCATGCTAAGAATCGCAAGGAACTACTTAGTGGTTCAAAATTTCCATGTAAGTGAAGGGTGGGCTTCATGATGATAAAGATCAACTGATGAAATGGGTAAATAAATCTCTCATAAGGTTTGGGCGTGAACATCTTCTGACCCAACTGCAGTCCACATAAGGGCAGTAACTGAAATAGGGGAGCTCAAGGGTGTCAGGATGGGATCTTTAAGCTTTTTTCCTTTGAACATTTTGGATATCAACCCCCCACCCTCCCACCACAGAACAAATAGTCCCCAAACTCCCATGGGTGTACCTGGTAAAGTCTACCTTGGGGCCAGGAGTTAGGAAAGAAGTCGAGTGTATCAATAGACGAGAGATGAAAAGAGAAATTAACGTCTGCACAGAGCTGAATCTGGCCAGCAGCCCACTGCCACCAAGTGGACTCTAATGCCGAGTGACCCTGAAGGGCAGAGTGGAGCTGCCCCTGGGGGCTTGCTGAGACTGGAAATCTTCATAGGTGCAGAGAAGCTTATCTTTCTCCCCAGGAGCAGCTGGTGGGTTCGAATCGCTGGCCTTGTAGTTGTCTGCAGCCAATGCATACACAACTACACCACCAGGGTGCTACCCCCAACACCCTGCCGTCGCGCCCATTCCCACTCATGGTGACTAGAGGACGGAACAGGTGCCTTCCTGTGTTTCCTAGACGGCAAGCTTTACAGGAACAGACAGCCACACCTTTCTGGTGGTTCTGAATGGCGGTCCACCCGATGCATAACCCACTACGCCACCAGGGCTCCTGAGGGTTACGATGGGATTTTTAATGCGATTAAAAGACAGAAAAATACTTCTGAGCCACAGCTATAAAACTTGCGGTGTCGTTTACACAATCTTTTAACACCATGACTTAATTCTGATAGCTTCTTCTATGTGCTATTCATAGAGAACAAAAGAATGTGGGGTCTGATTGTTTGCACGTTAGATTCTCTATCAACCGCATGAAAAACAAATGAGGTTCAAACAAAAGCACCCTCGTTCACTTTCCTGGCGGCTGGCCTGTCCTTACCTCCCCCTGCTGGCTGATGATGGGGACTGCGTACTGCAGCTTCACGTCGCAGAAGAGGCACTCCAAGAACACATTAGCCACACCAATGAGGTTGTGGTTTTCTTGGGCTTCGTAGAAAGGGTCACCTCGTTTCCCATAGAGTCTCTTTGCCTGAGGGGTTGGAAGGGTGGGCAGAGGAGGAAGAACAAAACAGCAATGCACAGGATGCTATGAAAACTGGTATCTGATATATATGAAGAAAGCACTTGCCCAACCGAATGAAAAATAAATCTAGAATCATTCCATGTCAAGAAGCCAAAGCTAGCCCATGAGAGGGGCTTGTGTGCTGGGAACAGAGGGGCACGCACAGAGAGGACTGATCTTTCGTGGCTGCCGTGCCTTCCCCACCAGACCCCACCCGTATCCTCTTGCTTCCTCCAAGCCCTCTCCATTTCTACCCCCCGAAAACCCTGGCAATCGACCAGAGGAGTCTACCTCAGCAAGCACGTTCACGACCTAGGGTGAGGGGACAGAACTAACCACATTCACGCGGGCTCCATTCCCACTGAGGTGCAGTCAAAGTGCAGCCCAACAGGAAGGGGCCTCAGGGTTCCCATCCGTGCGGGCCCCACATGCCATGTTAACGGATTCAACTCGGCACACTCCCAGCAGGGTCCCTTTGAATGGGCTTTTCTCAGATATGCGACCATCGCGGGGACATGCGTGTGCGTGAGTGTGCATTTTTGTGGTGCAGTGACTTGTCCGTGGGGCTGGACAAGTTAATGGGCCTGCCAGCCCCTTTTCAGGAAAAAAACAAAAAATACTCAGCGTGCCCCCCCTGACAATGACACCCTTCTGTACTGCAGCCACGCTCCAGGAGAAAGTGCTGCAGGCCCCTGGGCCCTACCAGCACACCCCTGGGGGTGGTACCCCCACTTTTGGAAACATTTAAGCCCTCCCATGCCGCGTTTCTCACCTCTGGGACTTCTTCTTTCCATTCTTGATAAAGGTCTCTCATATCAATTAATTTATTCTCCAGCTTCTCAATGCTCCACACTTGGGTGCTCTTCCCTTTCCTCCGCACTTGAATAGCTGGCTCACTCACAATCGCCCCTCTCTGCATAAAGGAGAGAGGCAAACAAAAGAAGTCTGGTGCTGATGAATTCATGAAAGGTTATTTGTAACTTCTTGGGGCGGAGGGCTGCCTGGCATCATAGCGGGTTACTCATCGGGCTGCGGACGGCACATTCGGGGGTTTAAACGTACCAGCTACCCCAAGGGAGAACGAGAAGGCTTTCTGTTCCCGTTCCAGTCTTAACCGTCTCAGAAACCCAAGGCGAGGCTCTACACTGTCCTACAGGGTAGCAGTGCATCAGAATCGACTCCATGCCAGGGGCTCCGGAGTGAGTTTTAAAACGATCTACACTGCAGTAGAGTAATATGTTTGGAAAATACAACATTGAGTATATAAAAGGAGATCCAATTCTCTAGGGAGTATTCTGGTTTGCTTCCCATCTTCTGTGTACACATACACACTTTTTATTTCCGTCTCCGAATATAATTTCATAACTGCTCCACAGGGTGTACAGTGTGTTCATTTCTGTGCTCCATTAAATACTCTTCACACACATGGTTTTTAACGACTAAAAAGGGGTCCGTCAGACGGACACACATTTGACAAATTCTCCACCCGGGCAACTGCACAGAGCTTGTGCTTCCCCCATGTTGATTTTTGCTGTTAGAAAGGCCACGAGGCTGAGCACCAACGTGTACACAAAACGAACCACAAAAACCAAACCACTGTCCCGAGTCGGTTCTGACTCAGCGACCTTTGGGGCAGAACTGCTCCACAGGCTTCCGCGGCTGTAAATCACGATGGAGTCAAACTGCCTCAGCTCCTCCCACAGGGAGCCTGGTGTCTTCCACCTGCTGACCTTTCCATTGGCCTCCCAGTGCTGCCCCACGGTGGCAGCAGGCCCCTTTATCCTGCCTGGTGCATCAATGCGATAAGGGTCTAGATTTCTCAAAAGGGAACTAAAACCCCAGCAAGCCTTGTGGGGGCAGTCCTGACGGTCCTGATTATCCGGAAGGATAAATGAAGCAATAGGAAACTAGTTCCTTCAAACTCTCTCCCGACAGGACATGGCTGAAATGCCAGGAAACCCCAAATGATTGTAAGGCATCTTTCTGGGTCTAAAGGCAGGTGCCATATAAGACTTCTGTTCTTATAGCATTTACTCTTAACAACAAGATAGGATTTCTGAGATAGCGTAGTGGTTCCTCTGTTGTCTGAGATCCACATGGTCAGCAGTTGGAAACCATCACTAGCTCTGCACAGAAAGACTGGGCTTTCTACTTCTGTAAACAGTTAGTCTCGGAAACCGCTACTGAAGGGTACTAATAAAAGGGCGAAATCAGAACACAGTGAAATGGGGCGCTTTTATGGAAGAGCAAGGCAGGCAGGGTTACGTGTGGGTACGTCTAGGTTCACCGTTTGTAGGAAAGCATTTAAATCAGCAAGATCTTTAACCACCAGAATGCTGCCTCTTCCGATGATAACATACCAAAGGACACAGTTGGCATTGAGGGTAAGCGCTAGGCTGCTAACCAAAAGGTCAGTGGTTCAAACCCACTGGTCACTCTGCAGGAAGAAGACGAGGCTGGTGCTCCTGCACAAGGTTTACAAAGCCTCAGAAACCGGGCAGGGTTGCCGCGTGTGACTCGATGGCCGGGGGTGGGGTGGGGGTGGGGTGAGTGGGGGGCTGGTTCTTAGCTGAGAGAGTCTATACAGGGAAGTCTGATACAAAAGAAGGAATCTTTCTGGCTCGTTTGGTTCTCCCCACAGCTGTGTTGGATGTGGTTTTATGCTTTCTCTGGCAGTACTCACCAGCAGACACCTTGTGCCCGTTTTCTTCAGCAGTGCCTCTTACCTTCTTATTGGCGCTGAGGTTGGCAGCCGGGATCTGCAGGGTCACTTGGTAATCAGTGAGTTTACTCATTTCCTCAGCTAAGAAGTTTGCTTCCCTCACCAGCGTATTAGCTTTCACCAGCTGCTCTCGGAGTTTTGCCAAGCTTTGCCGAAAGAGCTCATCCCTGCGGTGTGGCATTAGAGAAAAGTGAGAAATCCTAAAAAGAAAACTTTGCGACTGCTGCTAAGTGAGTCACACATAGTATTAGAAAAGGGATGACAGCTTCTTGCAGGCAGTATTTCCCATCAGGCCTCCTCCTAGCCTGCCCTCCTCCTCTGTGCAGGATCTGTGAAGCGTTTGACTGAGAACCGTGCTGAACATGGTAGGCCCTTTTAAAACAGAGTGGGTCTCACGTGCGGTGCGGATGGGCGAGATAAAGCACGAGGCACGAGATGGGCATTCGGGTGGAATAGTGGGTTAAGGGTTGGACCCACCAGCCGCTCAGTGGCAGAATGCCGTTAGCAGTGGGTGTCTATCAAGATTTCCAGCCTTGGGACCCCAGCCCAGAGACGCAGCTCCACAGGGTCGCCATGAATTGGCATTGGCCCCCGGCAGTGGGTTGGTACACAGGAACCATAGGGAGGCGTGAGTGACTGGGAGAGTGGACCTGCGGTGAGGAAGACGCGTTCTGTGTGAGTTCTTCAGTCGGTCAGCAGGACGAAATGGGTCTTTCTTTCTAGGGCAGCAAATTTTGGTCTTGCAACTTTCTACGCAACAGCACTTTCTGAGAGAAGCCTCCTGAACGGCCTGCGTGGCTCAGAACCCCACATTTGTCACAGTTGTAGTTCTTCACGTTGTTGTATCACGATCCAATTAATCAAACGCCTGCAAGGCTCTGCTCTTAAATGATCACAGCACTGGGCTGTACACAAGCATACTGTGCGACAGTCAATAAGTGGCCAGGGAATGAAAGAAAGCGGGCCCTGGGTTCACAATAGCCTCGACTCCATGCCTTCCCTGATGTACTTCCTGCCTCGACTGTGTAGGAAAGGATGACCTCTGAGCGTCAATATCTCGACTCTTTCTTCAGCACCTGAGAAAGGATGCAGGAAACGCACTCCAGAGGAGACCTCACCTTGGCACTGGTTTCCTGGAGCCCCTGGGTGGTGCCCATAGGGAACACGCTCAGTTGCTAGCTACCTGGAGGCTGGAGCTGTTTGAGTGCACCCAGAGAAACCTCAAAAGACAGACCCAAGGATCCACTTCCCAAAAACAATAGCCAGCCACTGAACTCCCCACGGAGCACATCTCCATTCGGACACACTGGAAGGTCTTTAGCACTTCACACACAAGGACACACACTTGGAATGAACAGTGCCCTCGGAAGCACAGCCCATGGCTGGCAATCCAGATACGGGACTAAACTGTTCCTTCTCGGCAAGGCTCAGGGTTCTGTCCCCCTATCACGTGTCTTGCCAAGCCCTTCCCCTAAAGCTGCCCGGGCTGCCACTCTTACCTTTCCTCTGCCCACTGGGTCACCTTCTGCTGAGCTGTCTGGCTGCTGTAGGCCAGGCGGTCAGGGCTGCTGTTGGGCGGCTGCCTCTCAGGAGAGAGCTGCTGACGGAGTTGCTCCAGCTCCCGCTCGTACATGAGCCGCTGCTCCTCCAGGGCACTCCGCTTCTCCTCCAGGTACTGCTTCTCCAAGACCTGGACCACGTTTTGGACTGGGTCTGGTGAGCCAGGAGGCAAGGCGAAGCGTCAGTCAGGGCAGGGCACCCACAGGCGCTCACGGCCCACTGGAAGCCCCCTGGGCTGCCCACTGCCAGCACCAGCTCTCCCGCAGCACCTTGCCCTTCAAGGGGCTCTCTGAGGTTGGCGGGCCCATCGGATGACACGACCTTAATGCTCTTTTGGCTAACATTTCAGATCAATGTCCGATAGGTCAGCACTCCCCCCATCCGCTTCCTTCAGTGGAATGTGCTCATCCTGGTGTTTCGACAAACCGTTCCTCTACTGCAAGCAGAGGGTGGAGGAGATGAACGAGAGTGTACTCCTAAACCCAACGAGCCACCTAGAACACCTTCAAATACAGAGCCAACGCGGTTTTACTGTTACAGTGCGCGTTCATGCCATTTAGCTTCAGTTTTAGTGCACGACAAAGCGTTTGTACCTTTTCACATTTAACCACAAATCCTGTTCCCGTCAAATTGCTCTACTAAGGATGGAAATTTGCAAATCACAACATATTGTGGAACACGTAAGACCGGGCAGAGAGTGCAGGCAGACACGTTCTTTATTCTCGTGTTTGAAGAAGCCTGGAGGCCAGGGTTCTGAGTGGAGGGAGGTCTCACATCTGTGAGTTGGAGCAGAGTCCCAGTCACATTCTCATAATTAAAAACCATCCCCACAGTCTCCACCCATAACAGTGCTGCCTTAAAGGTACCTCTTCCCAGCACCTGGCTGTTTGTATCTGGCTGGAAGCTTTATCTATAGGAGCAGACATGCTGCAATTGTTCTCCCTGCTCAGGGAACAGCCACTCCCCTTGAAACGCCCCCAGCTGAAGACAGGAACCTCTAGAGTTAAGGTACTGCCCATTTCATTACACATGTGGTTACCTGTAATTAGGAGAGCTTGCATGCCCCGAGACTATATAAGTTGGTGTAAGAATGCTCTCTCTCACCTGGTTTCTGGTGCCATGGAAGAAGGGAGCACCCCAGAACTTTTGTCCGTCTCTTAATTTCTTCCCTTCAATTACACAACCGCCTCTTAGGACCCATCCGGATGTGAGCTGGATCCCACAACATATGTGTGAAAAAACATAGCCTCTCCTCCTTATGGACACGGTTAGGTTCCAAAGATCAGGTCAACGTGAAATCAGCATATGACAAATTGAAAGACGGCCACATCACAACATGCCTGCCCAACACCAGGGACCACGGCCCAGCCAAGGAGATGCATACCTTTAACCATCACAGCCAGCACTACTCTAGCTTCGCTCCGAGGCACTTGTTAAAGTCTGATGCATATAATTAGCACACAAATTAATTGGGTAGATGTTCAAAAAAATTATTATTGTAAATGCAAAATGTCAGAAAATGAGAAAGCTGATAAGTAAGGAGGTATATATGTGGGGGCTTCAAAACGTTGGTGGAAAGGTCCCATGGCCTTTTTAACTCCATTTTTTCAGGAACTTTTGGAAGCACCCTTAGGTGGTCTAACAGTTTCTTGGGTGCTAATAACTAACAGAACAATTTATGTGTAAAAATACCAAAAGGCTACTTCCGATGCCTGTGTGGAGCCTGAGCTCAGTCTCCACAGGGCTGGATTAGTAAACGATGCTCTCAGAGGCCGCCACCACAAGCAATGGTAGCTCTGGGGTAGGTGGGACTCCACCCTGAAGAGTCTTGACAAGGGCAGGGTATCCACTTGGTAATGACCAACGAACTGGATGGCATGGAGAAAGATCAAGGTACTATCTATCCATGGTTATGAAGGAGCAGGTTCCTGACAAGCCTCAGGGAGGAAGCTGCAGGGAAGAAGCATGCCAGGCCACCTGGATGGCAGAAGAAGACAATCAGCACGCAGCAAATACTTTTCTGAAGTACAGGGCACTTGCAGGGATCAAGTTCTCTGACTAGCTGAGGATATAGTTTCCTCTTTATACACTCATGAATCTGTATGAATCATTCAGTCGTTGTACATTCACATATCTGCCTGCTATTCAGTGCCCCCTGGGCTGCATCCCCCCCCACTGGCCCGGATGGAAGTGGAAAATTTAAGTTGACCCAAGAGGAATTTTTATATTATCCGATGATGGCTACTGAATGACTTTAAAAATCATATCAAGTTGTGAAATAAACAAGTAAATAGCACTAATCTTGTATGTAGGTAATGAGAGAGAGAGGGGAAAAAAGCATATGTTAGTTAAAAAACATAAGGTTAAATAATAAAAAAGGAAAGGTGGGAAGCAATATTTTTTAAAAAAATCCAAGATACACAGAGTCTAGGTAAGTTGTTTTAATACCACAACAGCCACAATAATTCTACAAGCCCCTGAGTGCATTTCTGGTAGTAAGACTAGGCCCTTTGCATGCAAGACTTCACGACATCCTTGCAACAGCCTCAGGGGAGATATCATCCCCATTTTAGACATGAGGCCCAGAAAGGTTGAGAAGCGGACCTAAGGTCACACAGCCGGTAAGTGGTAGAGCCAGTTTTAAACTCAGACCAGAATTAGCTGGCTAGGGGAGGGTATGAACTTAGTAATAAACTGATGGGCATGACCGTACCTTCTTCAATGGTCTCCTTTGAATTAAGTACCCTGACAGGTAAAAGGGGGGCTATGGTAGTGTAGTAGTTTGAGTTGGGCTTCAATCCTGATGGTTGGCAGTTTGAAACCACCAGCAGCTCCTTGGGAGAAAGACTAGGCTTTCTACTCCCGTAAACAGTTACAGTCTCAGAAACCCACAAGGGCTCGCTGTGAGTCAGCAGGGACATGATGGCAGCAAGTTTGGTTTTTGGTTTGGTTTGGACTGTTAAAAAGGAGACCTGGTGGCATCATGGGTTACAGGATGCTACCTGCAAGGTCAGCAGTTTGAAGCCACCACAGGAGAAAGATGAGGCTTCCTATTTCCATAGTTAGTCTCAGAAACCCACAGATGCAACTCTCCGCTGTTCTATAGGGTTGCGATGTGTTGGAATTGCCTCACTGGCTGTGAGTGAATGAAGCTGGTCCAAAGTAGTAAGATACTCCTCTTAAAATGTAGAAACAACATTCTTTAATATAGCCCTTTCCCACAGAATAATGGCTTTCTATCAGAGCCCTGATTAGAATAACCTCTAACATAGGTCATTTGAAGAGCCGATAGAAATTAACTCAGAAAAAACTCTCACACAAAGGCTGACTGCGGGTGGGTAAGACATGTTCTATAGAGCAACAATCTATGGACTGCAAAGCACTGGGGGTTCTGACATGGCCCCATAACTTCTGATGAAAGTGTAAAAATATGTGTGATAAGCCTGTTTGAAGAAGCCTGAAGAAAATGTCAATGGTAGGACAGGGGAACAAAAATCCTCAGAATTTTCTTTTAACAAAATATGCATTATCAAGTCAAATATATAGTCTTTATCTAGGATCTGGTAAAAAAAATATGTGTATATATATATATAGATATAACTGCAGTTAATTAAAAAATGAAATAAAAATTAAATTAATTTAAAAACATCTTCACAGGAAGGGCAGGTTTCTCATCATGCATCTACATTTAAATGGATTCTCATACCCAAGGCCTCTAACTTAGCACTTATGAATCTTTCCCAGACAGAGAAAACGGGAAAACGCCATTCTACAAAGGAGGCTGTTTAATCCACAATTCTCCGTACTGGAAACTCAAAAACAAAACCAAAGAACCAAACTCGCTGCCGTCAGGTCTACTCCAGGTCACAGAGACCCACAGGGCACGGGAGAAGTGTGCGTTCCTAAGACAACTTTTGATGGGAATAGAAAGCCTCATCTTTCTCCCATGGAGCAGCTGGTGGTTTAGAACTGCTGACCTTGTTGGTCAGCAGCCCAATCCCAAATGACCCTGGTAGACGGGACTTCATTTTAAGGATCTGCGTTGCTTCAAAAGCCATATGACTGAGGCTGTTTAAACAATGCTTATGGGCGTTAGGTTTCAACTACTCGGCAAAAGGTTGGCAGTTCAAGGCCATTCAGGGGTGTGTTAGAAGACAGATCTGTCATTTTGCTTCTAAAAGCCCATAGCTTTGAAAACCCCACAGAGTGTAGTTGTGAGCAACAACTACCAACAATATCAAGCGGCGGCCACGGAGGCTTCTCCGCAGTGGATTGTGGCTGCAGTCTGAACCCACCAGCTGCTCCGTGGGGGAAAGATGAGGCTTGCTGCTCACATAAAGCGCTCTGCAGCCTCGGAAGCGCACAGAGGCAGTTCGAACATGTCCTACAGGGTCTTTAGGAGACAGAACCGACTCAATGGCAGTGAGTGAGGAGGCCCTGGCTGGTGCAAACAGTGAAGTTCTTGGTTACCAATTGAAAACTTGGTAATTTAAATTACCCAATAAAAAACAGGCCTAGTGCTCTACTACTATGGAAAATCCTGTCACTAAAATCCCAAAAGAGCATAATTCATAGAGTCACTAGGAGTCAAAAATCAATTTGATAGCAACTGGAGTAGCTACAACCATGTAGTGCATTGTGGCAGTTACATAATCTCCTGTCAACTGTAGAAGGAATGGAGTCTAGCCTGTCAATCCGGTCGCAGCTTGATGACCTCATTTGGAGGCTCAAAGGAGACAAATAGCTCACTGGAGGCCAGATACACTTTCTGCTTGTCTCCCTGTGAGACATTCCTGTTGACAAGCCACATGGAGCTATGTTGATAGAGCCAGAGCCTTGGAGCTGGAGGAGCCACGTGGAGACCCACGTCATGCTGAGATGCTTCCACCACTACTGGATCCACAAGACTTCCCACCACTGGACTGCGATCCTCCTGAATTCAGCATCACTGCATGTGCTGCGTGAGTCTGAAGAGGAATTTATGGACTAGTATTGACATATGGGGTAATACCGCACTTAGGGACTTGAGTTCTCTCTTACACACGAGTCTCCCTGGATTTGTTTCTCCAGACTAACACATATGTACATACTACCATTTATCCATGTTTTCACCTAAATCAACACGCAGCCATGGAAGAGAACAATGCAGCATG